GTGTCCCTGGTCCTCGAGAATATTCGTTAATGAGTGAGGTTGAGTTCCCGTACCTCACATCCCACGATGCTCTCGAGGAGGTTGGTGCTCCAGACTCATACTCCCTTTCATTGGACCTCACTCGACAGGGCATTGTCTGTGGCCCCTCATCGGGCTTCACTTTGAAGGGATTGTTCCAACGTATTGAGAAACACAAGCAAGAGGGTACACTATCAAATCTCGCTGGCCCTGATGGCGAGATCCACTGTGTTTTTATGTGTTGCGATCTACCCTTCCAATACTTGAATGAGTATTTCCAGAATTTGGGCCCTGAGAAGTTTAGTCCCCTTCGCAATGAGGTACGTCAAATTGTTTCAGTCCGGGAAGGATTAGGCTAACAAACTCAACTCAGCGTTTGAGGAACGTTGATCTTTACCGATACGACGATGCTTGGGAGCTCGACTCTTTGATTGCCTTGTCTAACTACTTCACCATTCACCCTCTGGGTACTCATGACACCGTTTTGTCACTCGCAGACCAAATCGACAAGGCTTTGACTCCTTCAGTCAATACTCAGATTCTCGATTTCCGGTGCTCCTCGGACTACGATGCTTTCCATCTCCCCAACTCCGTCAACATGCCCCTTGATGCACTTCGAAATGGACCCAGTAGTGGCAGTCCATTCGCCAATCCTGCCGATGACTGCGCCATGCTTGAGGAGCTCTGGCTAGAGCTTGAGAGCCTTTTCAACGTCAAGGACAAGGCCGGAAACCGAAATGCTAGCGCCGAGGCTCTCATGTCTATTCTTCGAGGGAAGAGGGTCTTGACACTGTGCTACGATGGCGACAGCTCTCGTGTTGCCAACAGTGTCCTTCGTGCTAAGGGCGTTGAGGCAGAGTGCATCCGTGGTGGCTACAGCGCTCTCGCCAAGTTGCAGATGCCATGTAATGACACCTGCGAGATTGTGTCTGTTCCCGTTTCTGTTGAGGTCTGAGCTGGAATATCTTCAACTTGCTTACTATGTTAGTATTTGGATTCATCATTCCTTTCACACATGAGATCCGGCCGGACGTGCAGTGGGCGTCCGGGGCCGGCCGATATCAGCAAGACATTGGAGTTGAGTTATAGGGGAGTTATTGTTCTTCTTGCCTGATTACGATTTATGACCGAGATATAAAAGAGTATAGTCGCTGGTTAGTGCAAGCTTCAACGCCACAACGCCATGCGGATGGACAGGTCAAAACCAGAAGTGCAGTGGGTTTCTGGGTTTTGCGATGGATTTTCTTGAGTACGAAATATACAAAATTGCAGAGACCCATGGCTATTATACTACCTTTGAACCTGTGAACAAAAGTCCTCCGTAGCAATGTTTTGAATGACGTTCACAATACGAGCAGTAATCTTCTGAGCGGGGAGTGGCAGTACATGTATGGGCTCTATCGTATTCGATATGTCGGAGCTTGATAGAACAACCATCCTTCTACCAAAGTTCTAGAAGGACTATGGAATAAATCTAGAAGAGATGGCTCATTACCGCGGAGGCTGCTGGCTTTCCGCGAAACGTGTGGCGGTAATGACTGACGCATTCCTCACGGGCATAATCATCGCTGGAATAGGTAATTCAAGCTCCGGCGCGCCAACGTCTAGACTTATACCGTCAGTGAGGGTGCCAAAGATAGTGTGCCTTGGATGGAATGTAGATAGTAGTAAGAGTGCTTGTCTCAGACATAACAAATAACCTACAGACAGACGAACGGGAGATCGAGTCAAACTGTACTCTTACATAGAGGACGGCCTCTAGAAAGGTAGTATGGCAAGTGTCAAAATACACAACTGTACATATTGTATCCTAGAATCACTTTACTCGGTTGTGATGAAGATCAGTGGATCATCACGAATCTACGACAGTATCAACACCGGCATTGCTTCACTTTGACACATCAGAGGCAACGGAAGAACAACTTCCATAATTTAGTCCCTAGTTGCAATTTGGAACAGTTAGAGTTTCTGTTCCTGCATCCATTTCCTAAGCCACAGTCCATAAACTCCAGTAGTGCAAGTTACAAAGTCTCGACTTGGCGATAGCAGACCACCAAAGATGCATGGAATGAGGGACGGGTGAGCCGGTCTCCTAGCGTAAAACACCATACCGGTAATTAAACGCCAGGCACAGGTCATATGATCGGCAGTGACAGCACGTCTTCTCGTTGACGCCGCTGGATACAGCCTTACTGGTAAGCTTATAGGGAATGGGCTTATGTGAAACGCCTCTGTAAGGGAGTATTTGAGTCAGTTGACTATTGGTTCCTAAAAGAGAAGAGACTCGCAGAGGAGAGTATAGATGGATAATGGCAGTTTGAGTATTATTATCACAACGGCCAACTTACTTTCCAGAATGGAACGTTTACCGATATTTCGGAAAGATAGATATTGGCCAGTCCATCAAAAAGCTTGATAGTCTCCTCAAACACATTCTCTTGAACCGCATTATTCCCCTTTCAGTCCCCAAATCGCCTCCACACCAGAAGCGTCAGTACTTCACTTCCGCATTCGACCATGCGGCGTCAACCTCGATATCCACACTGAATAAGTTCTCCACGGGCCTCTTTTCTATGTCCGATGAGTATTCTTTTCTTTGGAGGCTTGGGGCTAGAAGAACTAAGGAGAATTGTCGCCGAAATAAAGGCATTGAATACAGCGTTTAGCGGTTCGTGCTGAATAATTTGCATTATCGTCACACAAGCGACGAGACGGCAGAGACTGTTTCAATCAATACCCTTGCTTCCAGATCGTCGGGATGAGGCGTCACACATGTCTCAGAAGTCTCAGAGTCTAAGCGAACCAACAAACCAAAGACGCCTGACATTTCTGTATCCGAAACAATCAGCAGCCCTGCATCGAATCATGGCACCAATAGAACCGCTGCACGTAACACAAAATCATCTGCTTAACACCACCTCATAATTAGAAACAATATAGGCACTTCAAAGCGCCTAATAAAACCCTTAACTCTAAACCAGGCACGAACAAACATGCCGCCCTAGAACAGGCCATGGCGTCGGTCGAAGCCGTAGCACATCCCCCATCCAAAGAGTCTAGCCTAAAGCTTATATCCTCTCAAACCAACTATTGAAATGGGGGGGAGGGTTGCGTATGTACTTTGTAGAATATGGGACAATACAGGGGCTTTGTGGATATAAACTTGAGCCTTGCCCAACCCGTTCTCAAGAAGGAAGAAGAGAAGAGGGAGCGCGGTTGATAGTGTCTCACTCTGATACACATCACGTTTAACATTCTTTCATTTTTCTTTCTCTTTTTCAACTTATATTATTACCACATCACACTCCTTTTCTTCAACATCAATCACTCATCGCCATGATGAAGTCTCGACGAACTCAACGATCCAAGTCTCTCCCGAACAATCAATCGCCCAAGAGATCATTCTTTTCTATCATTTCTCGCCGGCTTTCTCTTAGTTCCAGACGACGTGCCAACTCTGTGCGCTTGTATGATGACAGTGAAGATGATGACACCGTCCAAGTGATTCCTCAAGAGGTAATAAGCCCCCAGTTCCCCTTTCAAGGCTTCTTTCTCACACATATGTTCATAGATTCAGCCACCCACACAATCTCGCTTTTCTAGACGAGCCTCTCGCTTCTGGTCTACCTCAGCTGCCAACCAATTCGATGATGATGACTCGTCGCCCCAATCGCCCACATATCCCGCCTATGGGGGCGCTTATGTTCCCCGACACGCCGCAAGCGACTTCTCAAAGACAGCTTCCAACCGCCTCACCATGATGGCAGAGGCAGATGAAACAACCCTCTGCTCGTACAACTTTCGCACCAACAGGATTACCAGGAGCTTCGGCACAGATGATGATCTCGACGTGGACCATCGGGAACGAGCCCTTGATGCCCTGACTGCCAGACGTAGTCTCGCTCTCTCGAGCGAATCAAGCAGTGAGAGCGCCAACGACTATACTCTTTTCTTGACCGACGCTGCAACTGGCTCCGATGCCCGACGACGAAGGTCTGCTGCTGCGTGGGCTGAGCTCGAGCACAGAGCAACGGCTGCTAATCGAAGGACCAGCGGCACAGATTTCCTCATGGGTCGACCGGGGCGCACGCAGAGTAGTTATCTAGGCTTGCCTGGCAGTGCATATGACTCTTCCAGGCCAGCAAGCTCAGTTGCTGTGAGCATCACCGAGTATATCAGACCAGCACAGGCTGGCAGGGTTTGGTGATGGCTCTGTTCCCAGCGTACAAAAACCAAGTATGAGATGTGACATATGACTGGGTGGAAATCTTCGTTAGGCGTTCTTGGGCAGGCGTTATATGCAATATCAGAGTGTAAATCTGGCTAGGGTTATCCAGGTGAAACCCAAATGGCTTTCGACCACAAGCGCGACTGCGCACACTTGAGATCAAAATAAACCACGTTCTCTTTTGACCAGTCTGTTGTGACTCGGCCCAATTCAAGTGACCAATATCGGTATACGTTGTGCATGTATCCATGACCCTGGTAAAGTCTTCAGTGAAGTGAAGTGAGTTGGACCATGGATGCAATGCGGTATTGACAAATGCCACGGCCCTATATATATGAAACCAATTGCCTCGAACGCCTGTTTTCTCATGGCGATGTTCCTAACATCGCGGGACACATGATTCATCTCATGCCTTCATGCAAGAAGCTCTGCCATCCCATTATACACAAATGAATATCCAACCTTGGTCAGATGCACCATACCGTAGTTAAACAGGCTGATCCGTAGACAAACACAGACCAGTATAATATTCCAAGGCCACAAGTGCCCACCCGCTCCGTAACTCCTCTCATGCCATTCTGCACCGACAGTGACCAGCTCACGACACCCTCGTTAACACGACTCTCACAAGGGTATAATATGACAAGTCGCGGGGTCCAAGCGCGGCATGAAGATACCTGAAAAATAGACCCCTGAGTGGTAAGGTAATCCAAAAGAGTGGCGCCTATTATGACCACACACATATATCATCCCCCTAGGACTGCATGACTCCTGCGACAGCCCGTCTTGGAATCAAAATTTCCTCATCATCAGAGCTGTCGGCTGCCTCCACGCTCGCCTTGTCCAGCATCCTTTCTATATCCTCATCTCTCAGTGGTTTTCTTGTTTTCCCGCTCCCTAGCCCGATACCGCTTGGCAACGAGAGCGTCCCTCTTAATTGACTTCGGCTACCAATGGTTCGCCTTCGGGGTGCTGCCCTATTCTGTGCAGCATAATGTTGCTGTGGTGAATCAAGGTCCATTGGCGATCCAGGGGGCGGGGCCATGGGTGATTTATCATAAGGGGCTTTTCGCGTTTGCTGAGGTTGCCTTTGTGACGTGGGGAGCGGTTTTCTCGGCCCTGAAGGCAACGCGTGTCGTGGAGGAGGTCGAGCCATACCAACGTTGGGTCCTGGGGATCCTGTAGGGGAGAAAGCGTGCTTCAGATTGGCAGAGTTGCCTGGACTACTCATGAACAACAAAGTCTCAATAGCATCTTGTTCCCTAACATTTTGATGCGGTGACATGAGAACTGGGTCGCCCATGACGCGTGATTTGGGTCCATGTGACACAGTTGGGGGTTGGCCAGGCGTGTGAGGTGAAGCGGAATGAGAATGTGTCAACATATTCGGAGTTCGATTAGGGTGGGAGTTGCGGCGTGGGTTCGCATGGGAGTTGGGCACGGGAACTGAAGGCCGGATGGGTGCTGGGGGCGCAAGTGCAGGCTTGTTCCACGCTGAACTTGGAGGTGTATTTGATTTTCGACGTTGGCTAGTAGAGCCGTATGGATGTGGTAGAGGAGCTGACGAGGACGGTGGCTTGCTCATGGGTATTCGAGGGCTTGCCGAGGAACCCTGTCGGTTATGTATTGTCGAGGTGGTTGAGACTGGAGATGCGGCTTGGGACGCCATATTCTCGACCTCTTCAAGTGAGTTTGACTGCCAACCCTTGTTGACCTTGATCATGGCATATGACAGACGCGTCTTTAACTCGTTGGACAACTAGAACAAGCGTGTTAGTCGTGGCTTCACGAGCGATTGATCACGTCTTTGAACGGAGACGTGGTTTTCGGGAGATCGCATTCGACATACCTCTCCAATATGGCCACCTGCTGCCGATGTCCTGCTCACAGCGCTCGGGTTTCTTGAATGGCCCTTCACGGGACTTTGGCTATCTGTCCGGCTTTTAACCTCTCCGTCGGCCATCCGCTTCCGTGAATTTGTGGGATCCGTTGCCATTCTGTGCTGAGCAGCAGCAATCTCTGACAGTTGCATCAGCTGACTGTCCTGACTTGATGGACCAGGTGCGCAGTTGCTGGCATCGCTGGCTGGGGGTGTGAATGCGGGATCTGTAGAAGTGGTCATGGTGGTCTCTTGCGAATCGGTGCTTGAGTGAGGATGGCTCTGTGTAGAGCCATCGTCGCGGTCGACAGAAGATTTGCGCTGCATATTGGCGATAGCTGCGACAACGACGGCATGGGCGGTTGTAGTTCCCGCTGTTGAATCAACAGCAATATCGCTGGCAGGCGTAGGTGTTATCGATGTAATCGGGTTTGAGTGGGAGGCTCGCGAGAGCGCGTCGGCCTGGGGTGGTACCGCGAAATCCCCACCTTGTCGCGCTCCCGTAACCGTCGCTGGTGCTGTCTCAGTGGGAGCGTCCAGTCGGATATCTGCCGTCTTGAACGGGGGAGGAGGCGCAATGCGATTGTTATCCAGCGCAATTTCAGCTAGAGGCTGATTTGAACTCATGACAGGAATAGGAAGCCTCCGGGTTTGGAGTTGTGAACGTTGTTAGGGCGAAGATAAAGTCCCGTCGCTGAAGAGGGACCACAATTGGAGGGACGTGTAAGCCTAGGTAGTTAGTTAGTACGTCGATCCGCTGTACAAGTGAACCCTCACTTTTAGTTACCTACCTAGGTGCTGGAGAGTGCAGACCGACAACTGAAGTGGAGGGCGATGGACACGTTAGAGGGCCCCAGAGAGAAGGGTCTAGGGTCTAGACAGATGCTGAGACTGACCACGCGGCGGGAAATCCGGGCCACCAAGGGAGCTAGGGAATAATTGGGTTTCGACGATTTGATACGATATCCAATGTTGTCTTGTTTATTTACCATTATTCGACATGAAGCAGTGATTAGATGAATTTTGAAACTGATGAAGTGAGAAGTCAGAAAAAAGCCCAAAAGAAAGACATAAGCTGCAGTAAGTCATCTGAATTAGGTAGGCTGCCATTTAACACCTGCCTACACTGGTGGTTGGTGGTTTGGCATGGTCTCAACGCGGTCTCCTACGCGACTTGACTTGACTCGAGCACAGAAAATACCTTAAAATGTGCGCCTGCGTGGGGACCCGACAAGCCAAGCCCAGGCCCGAAATCTGCTAAAGATACACTAAGCTTTAGTGGCTGCAGGGTTGTCCTCGGGCAACTTGCAGGGCGTTCGTCCGCTGAAGTTACAGCACTGACTTTCCCATCGCCTCAGTGATACAAGCCAGTCGGGTCGCGTGCTTGAATAGGTAATGTGACAACGGAAGAAATACGTTGATACTGTAGACACGGGAGCGGTATTCCAACGGTGCGATGGCAAAAACGAGAAAAACGAGAGGGCCATGATCTGAGGTGTCCATTAAAGACCTCATTCCCACTCATGCACCTCGAAAATACAAAAAAGCCGCGTGGCGCTGCAAGGTTTTTGGGAGGGCTTTTGAGAAATGATGGAATAATGAGCTTGCGCAACGCGCGTAGGCATCAGTCAAAACACTCACGACAAGATTGTTGGAGTAGAACAGCACATGACACTGTAGCAAATCATTTTTCGACATCATACTTCAGCTTGAATGCAGACGAACGAGTACGACAGCAATGACCTCACCCCTGTAACCCCAACTTCGCCTGTCCCCCTCATTCAATGGGACCCCATGACACGCTTGGGCCAGCCAGAGACGTTGATGACGCGAGATCACGTGGCAATAGTAGAGCGTCATGATTGTATGAGGCAGTCAATATTGTCAGCTAGGACATGACATCGATGGGAGAATTCTTTGAAATCAGAGAATTTAGGCCTCTTATTTCAATTACAATTCCTACCGTAATTTTGGTAGATCAGCCTTTGCACTAAACGTCTATCATGAGATGGAAAATGTCTATCGTCCCCAGAAATGAATTCCATCATAGGTAGTCACCCAATCATCCACAAGCTGGCTCATCACTTCTGTCATGCCCTTGAACGCCTCCATCCAAAATAACTTCGTCGTTGTTATTCAGATCATGCTGGACCCTCTGCCATCCCTTCGTCTTTCTCGATTCTCTTCCCTCAACCTCCGCACCCTTGCCCTTGGCATCAAACACAGGCTTGATCAACGCTCCCAGTAGAGGATTGCCGCTGAAGGCTCCGCCGCCTCTTCCACTGTTCTTGTTCGCTGATGTCTCCCCGAGTGCGCCATTGTCGGCAGGGTCTTCATCGGACTCAGGAGTCACAGGCCTTTCAACTGCTGCCATCTTGCGAACAACCTTGCCGCCAACCACGTCAATGCTCACAACTTGCTTTCGCTTCTCGTAATCTGGCCGCGCGTTCCACTCCATTTCTCGAAGCACTTTCTGTTGACGCTTCAATTCTCTTGCTCTCTCCTCAGGGGTTGCCCACATGCTGCCTGTCCCTGTGAGCGCTCCACCGACATCAAAGTCAGCAGCCTCATCACGGACTGTCGTTCGCCTGGCATTTTGTGCTTGAAAGTTGAGAAGCTTGTCGCGATGCGCACGAGCCTTGGCTTCAGCGTCGCTTAGTGAAGCGCCGTCGTTGCCGCGTGGTTGAGTAAACGGCGCTGGGGTCTTGGCAACGTCAGCACGGCGATTGGCGTCTCGGTTAGCTGCCATTCGCTCGCGGCCTCGCTCATCTTTGAGCTCCCGGACCATGGCTTGGACATCATCTGGTGTCAACAGAGGGCTGCCGCAGAATGTGCAAGGCCCGAGACCTTCCTTCATGCATATCACTTTGCCGCATGAGAGACAATTTGGCGCAGCGCCTTGAAGAGGGTGTCGTGTAGCGACACAGTTGCATTTCCTAGACATGGAATTCTCAAGTGTAGGATTTGTTGATATTTCCAGCGCCCTGATGGCAGCGTCGAGATCAGAAATAGCAGTCGAAGCTCCCGCCATCGGCATGCCTCCGGCTATAGATATCTTTGTGCTTGTACCTGGCTTTGATGTAGAACTTCGTGATACAGGCGTAGATTTAGGTTTGGGTTTCGACGGTCCTTCCCCTATGAGATAACCAGCTGAGGCATGCTGTTTAGGTGGAGGCTTTGCGACAGGCTTGGGGTCTGGTTTCGGCGTGTTCGATCGCGAAGCATTGTTACTGCTGGGTGCGCTCGTGCGCTGAGGGATGTAGTCAAGGCTCAGATCCTTCTTGCTGTAAGTTGTACCCGCAGTTGCAACATAGTCGTTGACTTGTCTTGCTTGCGGTGTGTGAATATTGGCCTTCTTCTTTTTAGGTTGCCGTTTCGTCTTCGGCACGGCCTCGATATTCTGCGATTCGGGTTCAGACGGTGCAGCGGCATTGGAGTACGATGAGCTCCCAGGCGCCGAAGTTTGCCGTCGGGCGTTAAACGACGATATAAACTCGATGGCCTGTGGAGAGTCTCCTAGGAGGTTTCCAAAATGCTCTGCAGCTTCTGCTGTGGAGAGAGTCGAGGCGTAATCGAGGACCTGCTTAAGCTCCTCGTCGGGAAGCGGTAACAGCTGTGACAGCTGTGCGATCGACATGACTCGTTATTCTCGTGAGAGAGGGTGTTCTTCAAAGCTTTCTGAGTGTTCAATGTGGCTAAGTGAATGGCTTATTTCCGCTAGTGAGTGAAGCATGAAAGTTGTTAAAATGAAATGTTGACGTCGTTGAAGAAGATAGCTTGAAGCTCCCCCACCAAACTTTCTTAGCCCCTCCAAAGGATTAAGAGCGTTCTGTTTGCTGACTCACACGCCGACATTTTGCCCTTCAGTCCCTCCATAGGTATCGACGGAGTTTCCATTGCAGAACAAAACAACAGCGTGTGTTCCTTTGACATCTACCTTTGATCCATTCTATGCCTTGAGAAATATCGTTTCAGTCAACTTCGACTGGCTTTGGCAGTTGTCAACCTGGCTGAATCAGCGAAGAAATAATTTCGTCATGAATGCCAGGGTGTTCATGCTCGGCCCTTTGGTTGTATGCTGTACACGTGTAATTGTTTTATGGCAGCTTTTCTTTCTTTCCGAGGTACCCGTGGAATTCTGATGTTTGAACCATCATGTGGTTCTGCAAGCGTACGGCTATTGATCCGCTTTATGCTGGATGTTAACTAACAGGGCAAAGATCCATAAGTCCAGCAATTCGGTGTAAGTTGAAGGAAGCTTCTTAGAGTGCCGGATGAATGGATAAGTGAATGATGTCGAAGCGAGCCAACCAGACAGCCAGGATGCTCAACTAATGCAGTCTCGGGTTGCTTGATTTACTGACATATATTCCACTTGAGATCTAGTGATCGGATGGCCTACCTAGACAAAGTGGTTTTCAGCGCAACAAACTTGAGACTTCTAAATTTCCTCAGAGCGCATACAAAATGACCTTCACATATTTTAAGAGTCGAGAAATTTACTAGATGATCACAACAGGTATTTCATCATGTAGACGTTCTCATCCTGTCTTCCGTGTCTTCTCAAAAATCGAAATTCCGAGCCTCCTCCGCTCCGGCCCCTCAGCTCGACACGCTAAACCTGAACGGGCATAATCATGCCTTGAATTGTGTCGCACTGGAGCTTCCCCATCCTCCTCCTTCCGGGTCTCCCTCCCCGTATTTAAAGTGCTCATCGCCAACTTCTTCTTCTTTCCACCCGCATCCCGTCCTTTTTTACCCTTTTCTCCAATTGAAGAGTTAATCAATCGCAAAAATGTTCGCCGCTTCTCGTATCCAGCGCCGTGCTTTCTCGGCCACCGCCCGTGACGTAAGTTAATGCCCTCACTCGTGAGCGCACCGATTTGTGTCTTTAGTGGTTTTTTTTCCTCTTCACCGACCGACACCGGCCCGGCTGTTGAGAAGCCATCATGAGACCAGATTTGAGCTTCAGAGCAGCCGACCTCGTTTCAATGCTTCCAACAAGTGCTGACATACCTTCTATAGCTCTCCAAGGTCACCGTTCTCGGTGCTGCCGGCGGCATTGGCCAGCCACTCTCTCTTCTCCTCAAGATGAACCCCCGCGTCACTGACCTCGCTCTCTACGATATCCGTGGCGGACCCGGTACGTAACGACACCAGCAGAGTCTTTCGGTCGAGGTCAAAACAATTGCGAACTGGCATAAACGAGAATCGAGCAACGGTCATCTTGACTATGTTCCACTTTAACTCAATTCGCCTTTGTTGCCACCTCGCCAGATCTGGACTACCAGCTAACAAGTGAAATGCAGGTGTTGCTGCTGACATCTCCCACGTCAACACCAAGTCCACCGTCAAGGGCTACGAGCCCAACGCTGCCGGTCTCAAGGAGGCTCTCTCCGGTGCCGAGGTTGTCCTCATCCCCGCTGGTGTTCCCCGCAAGCCCGGTATGACCCGTGACGATCTCTTCAACACCAACGCCTCCATCGTCCGCGACCTCGCCAAGGCCGCCGCTCAGGCTGCTCCCAAGGCCAAGCTCCTGATCATCTCCAACCCCGTCAACTCTACCGTCCCCATCGTCAAGGAGGTTTTCAAGGCTGAGGGTGTCTACAACCCCAAGACCCTCTTCGGTGTCACCACCCTCGATGTTGTCCGTGCCTCCCGATTCGTTTCCGAGATCAAGGGCACCGACCCCAAGGACGAGAACATCACCGTTGTCGGTGGCCACTCCGGTGTCACCATCGTCCCTCTCTTCTCCCAGTCCAACCACCCCGACCTCTCTTCCAACGCTGAGCTCGTCAAGCGTGTCCAGTTCGGTGGTGATGAGGTTGTCAAGGCTAAGGACGGTGCTGGCTCTGCCACTCTTTCCATGGCTATGGCTGGTGCCCGCATGGCTGACTCCATCCTCCGCGCTGTCCAGGGCGAGAAGGGTGTCATTGAGCCCTCTTTCGTCGAGTCTCCTCTCTACAAGGACCAGGGTATCGAGTTCTTCAGCTCCAAGGTTGAGCTCGGCCCCGAGGGTGTTGAGAAGATTCACCCTCTCGGCAAGCTCGATGCCAACGAGGAGAAGCTCGTTGATGCTGCTCTTGTTGACCTCAAGAAGAACATCGAGAAGGGCGTTGCCTTCGTTGCCTCCAACCCTCCCAAATAAATGATCTCTGGGCTCACTTCGAGCTTTTAGAGAACAACCTAGCCTGAAAGAACTGGGTGTTGTGGCGAAAAGGGGAAAAGGGATAGAGGTAAACTCTCAGTACGGATGTCTTTCGTGTGAGGATCGGGAATAAGAGCGGGGTGTATGAGCGATTGATATACCCATGCTTTTTTCCTACTGTTCTACCACCTCTATAGACTTGGAAATCCGGTCTGTGTCTGTACTATAGCAATGAATGAAAAAAATACCCCAAAATGTTGATGCTTAGTGATTGAATTCGACGAGCAAGCGAATGTAGGTACTGCAATCGGGAGTACTCCGTAGTCAGTTCTGGATTTGGTGGCATTAACTATAGCGCTACCATTAATCTGGCTTGTAGCAAACAAATGGTCACTTTGAGCCTCAAGAGCGACTGAAAAAAAAATAGGCTGTGTTCATAATCAAGTCTACCCATCAATAGTATACACCTCCAAATTAGCAGGCTCCTAACTTCTCCAGCCTACCCATCCCTAATAATTTCCTCCTGTCTATGATAGTATGCTTACTCTAAAGCCTCCCATGAGATCTAAACCAAAATCTTAATCATCTCATTATGACTCAGTAAGACTATTAAGTCCTTCCAGTTCGCCACTCCTGAATCTTTCTTCGTCGCTCCTCGACCTTACGCTCAAACTCGGCAACCTTCTCGAGCCTTTTCTGTTCCTCCTCCTCGTCCTTCTTCTTCTGGGCGGCGGCGCGGCGAACAGCCTCCCTCTCGAGCTGCTCAGGTCGTCGCTCAGCAATATCGCGAGGTCGGTAATCGCTGAAGAACTTCTTCAGGCTGACCTCGATAAGCCAGCAAGCACCGTAGTCGATGACCATGACCGCCGTCATGTTGGTTTTGAACTCGTCCGAGAAAGGAACAAGCTTCATGCCCTGGTTGATGTCGGGGAAGAGCTCGAGAGCACAGGCAAAAGCAAGTCCGGAGACACCGACGATGCCGTAGAACATACCCTTGTTCTCGGAGAGAGACTCACGGAAGGGACGGCCTTGATAGTTGATGGCGAAGGTGGAGATTTGCTGGATGAGCTGGAGAAGGTAGACGGCAGAGTTGAGTAGAGATGGAGCAAATTCAGCCTCAAGATCAACATCCTCAGAGCGACTATAAAATGTTAGCTATCATATTAGGGTCATGAAGAATGGAGTGTTAACTTACGGAGCAAGTCTATCGCAAAGTCGGGCGATGTAGATCAGAGTGACGATGTGGACAGCAAACTGTCCCAGAATAGAGCCGATGATGTAAACGTTGAAGATGTTGGGCTGAGGACGTTCCTTGCTAAGGCCCTCGACGACACGAGCGCGAGAAATGCTGAGGAAGCAAACCGACATAAGCATGCCACTGATGGTGTACTGTGTGTCACCAAACTTGATACCTTCAAGATATAGGACGGACAAGGAGTAGGCGGTAATAAGACAGTTGAGAGCGAGAATCTTGTACATCTGGATAGTGGCGACGAGAGTGCAACGACCCTGGCGGATGATGTTGGGGACAGCAACGACATTTCGGAGTTTGGATGTGAAAGGTGCAGCAACTGAGGCATCGCCGAGCTTGAGAGTAGGGGGCTCGTCATCTCCCAATTCAGCCTCCATCATACCAGACGCAAGCTTGTCGGCGAAACCGGCGGCCTTCTTAGCAGCCTCGCCCTGACGATTAGCGTGAGGACCAGCATCCATAAGAGCCTGGGCGCCAGGAGAAGTGATGGTTTCGAAATCAAAGCCTTGTGACTTGGCGTATTCCTCGGGGGTAACGTTCTTCTTCTGAGCCTCACGTTCGATAGCCTTCTGGAATTGAGGGTTCTGAGGTCCAGGGGGGTAAAGGTGGGCAATCATAGCAGGAACAGGAGGATTGGGTTGGTTGAAACGCTTCATGAGGTCACATTGCTTCTGATACATTTCCTTCATCTTGGTGTTGCGGGAATGTTCGGCAATGCGCGTAAGATCTTCGGGGGTTCCGTTCAACAGAGCAATACCAATGTGAGCTTGCTTCAAAGCACCAACATCGTTGGTACCGTCACCAGCCATCAGAGTGTAGTAACCCATATCCTTGAGACCAAGGAGGATATCCTCCTTTTGCTTAGGGGAAACACGAGCGTAGACCCAGGCATGACGCAGAATCTCATTCCAGGCAACTTGTCCCTTGAACTTGGCAAGAGCGTAACCGGTAACACAAATATCCTTGGAACGAATGATCTCGGGGTCGATGGGCTTGGTGGGGTCGACCTTGATGCTGACCTTATCATCGACACTCTTCCAGACGAGCTTGTCACCGTTGGAGTTATCTTCAGGGGCATCAAGAATGAGGACGTCACGGTCGACGATTTCAACCTCACGAGCGACATGGACAGCGGTAAGGGGGTTGTCACCAGTAATCATGACCACTCGATGGCTGCTCTCGTTCAACATCTGGACAGCCTCCTTGGCATCATCCTTGAGAGGGCAGTGCAAAACGAGGAAACCGGCGAATGTCAAATCGGACTCAACCTTCTCTCGCTTCAGATCATTGATCTTGCCAGAACCAAGCTCAGTATCGACGGTAAGCTGCTTATAAGCGAGAGCCAGAACACGAGAACCCTTGCGAGTGAAGTACTTGTAGGTCTCTTCATAGTCATCGGGGATAACCTTGAGCATCTTCTGGATGGTCTCGGGCGCACCCTTGACACCAGCGAAAGTACCCTTGATCTTGCGACCGGTCTTGATATCGTTTCCGTGAACCATGGCAACTGAACTTTGGCGCTTGAGGGCAGAAGAGAATTGGAATCGACGCTTGATCTGAACGGTACCGTGTGTGCTGCCAGCCTTGTTGGTGCTCATGAGGGTATCGTTGCGACCAAGAGTCCAACCAAGAGAGGTCAGAGTAGCCTTCTCCATAGGATCACCAACGATGTCTCCCTCGTCAAGCTTGACAAGGGCGTGGGCGGTGGCAAGAACCAACTTAGTCTCAAGAGAAGCCTCTGTGACAACAGTCATGGTAGAGTGAGCGCCATCCTCCTCCTTGGTGTCCTTGATCTCATCTTCGTGTCCAAGAGCCAGACCAGCGATACCCTCAACAACAAGATCCTCGCCAGTCAGGGTACCGGTTTTGTCAAAGCAGGCCACATCAACACGACCAGCGAAAGGAATTCGGAAGGGTTCAGTACAGAAGATAGCCAGCTTAGCCAAAGCTGCCAAACTGGTGTTGACGGCAAGACTAAGCTCCATGGGGAGCTCAGGGGGGACGACACTGGTAACAATCAAGACACAGTCAAGCATAAGCTTAGAACGCTTGCGATCCTTGCGAACACCCTCATCCCAAACATACCAAGCGGCAGCAATGGCGAAAATCAGAAGGAACAGAATGAAGAAGAGAGCCTCGGCGTTGTTGGCAGATACTCGTTCAGTGGAGTAGATCATAGTTCGAACCAGGTTACCCTGAGAAGTCTCGAAACCGGTCTTCATAACGATGGCCATAGCGCCGTTATCTGGGGGAGGTGGAACACCAGAGGAAAGCTTAGGCTTCTCCTGGTCAGGGTTTCCGTGGGTGATCTGGAGAACCTTGGTACCACCCCACAAGAAAGCGTTCTTGTCAAGACCTTCAGAGTCCAGAGGAACATCGGAGGGTCGAAGTTGAACGGAGTCTTTAAGGAGAGGAGTACTCTCACCGGAAAGCATAGCCTCGTTAACAATAGCGGTACCTTCGACCAAGAGCATATCACAAGCAACACCACTATCCTCCTTGGTTCGGTTGACAGAAGCAAGGTCACCAGGGAGAAGCTCGTCGCTCAGTACCTCGGTCCACTTGCCCAGACGGAACACCCACATATCGTAGGGCTTGATGCTCATGCCGCGGAACTCGTTCAGGGTGCGCTGACGCTGCCAGACAACAGTACTCTCGAACACGACAAGCATGAAGAGAGTAAAGAGCGAATAATACCAGTACTCATCAAGCATCCAAAGTCCGACACAGAAGATCTGGAAGACGAAGAATGGGGCAACTGCGTGCTCCTTGAAGAGCTCGGTGAAGGTGGGGACGGGAATATCGAAAGCATTCTTGCCATAGTGTTGCTCAATTCGTGATAACTCAGTCTGGGTCTGGATACCCTTGGAGGTCTGGAAGTGGCCGATAGAAGGCTTGGGCTCGACATCGATATCGTACTTGAGGGTAGTGAAAGACTTGGTAGTGGTATCGTATAGGAATCGTCGCTTCTGGAAGAGGAACGAAGTGTTGAGCTTGCCACCAGCCTGTAACGACGATGTTAGTAATTTGAGCTGTTTCTGAATATCAAAATCTCCCCACCTTATCGCGAACAAGCTTGCAAATCTCGGCGGAACCGGCGTTTGCAATAGGAATGACCTTGATCAACTCCGCATCCTCGATATCCTTAGCCTTGGAGGCCTTGAATTTTCCCTCAAGATCAACACTCCAATGTGTGCTGAGCCAGACGAGAGACTGCAGAGTGATAATGGTTCCAACCCAGACAACAGTCCATTCCTCCGCGCCAATGTACTTTTCGTAGAGCTCGGGGCTCAAGTAGAATGCGAAGAAGATGGGCCAGATGATAGTAAAGGGCCAGATATATGCGTGGAAATGGAACGACAACGGGCGCAGCAGCTCGGCGTGCTTGATCTGGGGGTTGTCGACGAGGGGTGCCATGATGGGCGAAAGGGGTCGAGATAGGAGTATCTCGATCTGGGGACTATTTTCGAGTTTGAACTATATCATTAGATGAAATATTTGACTCTTTTCGAGTGTTTGCGGTTGTCTGCCCGCAAGTGGCTAAATAAATTTCCCAATTTCTTGGTTGCAACCTGCAAGTCGCGATCTGTACTTTTCGTCAAGGTAATCGATGGGTTTGGCCCACGCCACGCTTAGTACAGTATGGACCGGCGTCTCGGAGCTTGCCATCCACCGATAGCGTCACGTGACGCTTCACGGTACGCCATTCGTTTCCAAAAGTCTCCATTGCCTTCTCAATAATAGCTGCCTAATCACATTCTCGGCGGGAGACTTAATTTGGGCTTATTACGAGTCAGGAGGCGAATGAGAAAGTGATGTTTTCGAAGACGCAGAAACGGCAATTGAATCCCCCTCGAGCACCAGAGGACAGCCCAGTAACAGGGAAGACACTTAAAGAAATGTCTCAGACCCAAACCTGAATCAAGGCACTACTTTGCATCTCTTGGATCTAATCTGATCAAATATTTGTCTCCCAACAGCCAATAACTACAATGTAGTGAGCGCCACAGGCATTACTGAGATCTTTGGGTACAGTCAGCTTGTCTAAACGAGGAACCGTACGAACCAGCCAATCATACAAACATCTTTGACATCTTCAACCTCAACCTGATGCGTATTTGAGTTCATTCTGCTCGTGATGACAAAATCGCTCGGGTCAATGGTTCCGATGGGTGATGTTATTCCCCCATTGCCGACCTCAGATAGGCAATGTTAGAGTTGAACTTGTTCGTACCCCTCACAACAGCTCAACCTTCAGCCTCGGTATACTATGTAGACTAGATATATAAAGGCCTAAGGGACCGTGACTGTTCTCTCATGTCAAACAGAGACCTCAACTGCTCACAGTATTCAATACCTACCGCTTCACCATGCCTGTTCAATATGATACTGAATTCGCTGAAGCACTGGCCCTTATCAAATCTGGCCGCCCTCCAGCTCCCCCTGAGACAGCCCTCGATATGCGTCACAACAACCACGCTCTATTTTTGAAGGTGTTTCCCAAAGCACCCTCTCCTGATATCGTTGAACAGACAGATTATACGGTTGAGAGCTACGATGGCGTAGAGATACTCCTCCGCCGGTATGCAACACCAAAGGTCCTGAGATCGAAAGAACCACAACCTGCGATTCTTGTGATCCACGGCGGTGGCTTTGTCTCGGGTACTGTGGAAATATGTGGAGGAACCAACGCCGCTATGGCGCTCGAAATCGAAAGGCCAGTGTTCGCGGTTGACTATCGCCTTGCACCTGAGCATCCCTATCCTGCAGCTGTGGAGGATAGCTTTGCGAGTCTCAAGTACCTTATAGATCACGCAAAAGAGCTAAATATCGACCCATACCGGATATGCGTGAAAGGGAATAGTGCCGGCGGAGGAATAGCTGTCGGGACTGTACTCGTGGCCAGGGACAGGGAGCTCAATCCACCAGTTGCAAAGCTAATGGCTATATATCCTGAGCTCGACGACAGGACCTGCCATCCTCCTGGTACGGAGTTTCTGAAACTCACTACTTGGACCTCACAACACAATCAACTCGCATGGAAGGCTTATATTGGTGAAGATGAGGCTGGGAAGCCAGAGGCAGATGTTTCACCATATGCAGCACCAGCGAGGGCTCAGAACTACAAAGGGCTGCCATCTACATACGTAGACGTCGGAACGCTGGACTTATTCAGGAATGAAGACCTAGAGTTTGTGAGAAGACTGTTGGAAGACGATGTCGAGGTCGAGTTTCACCTCTGGCCTGGAGTGCCGCACGTATTTGAGTTCCTTGCACCGGGTACAAGATGGCACCAGCGTGCTAAAGAAGCACGAAACGACGCCTTAAGAAGGGTTTAAGTGATTATGGAGGAAAGATATGTATAGAGAATAAAAGGCTCCTTCAATTATGTTAAGTTCAGCGATCTAGTCGAATCAGTACGCATTGACATCAATGTTTCCCTAGAAAGCTAATGAGAAGCTCCGATATCTTCTCTGGTTGATCCTCAGGAGAGAAATGGCCAGCATCCTTCACAATCAGCAGTTCTGACCCAGGAATAGCATCGTGAAGTTTGTAGGCCCAATCAACCACCTGCCATGCATCATCAGCACCCCAGATCAACTGCACAGGTAGTTTCCCGAGTTCACCGAGACGGGGCGCCACTTCTAACGTGTGCTTCGGGTCATAGTGTCGAACTTGATGCTCAAACAGACTAGGTTGTCCAATGGGTCCCGAGATATAGTCCAGATATGCATTGAGACTTGACTTCTCAAGCTTGTCTGGATTCTTGACGGCGGATAAGAGCCATTCTCTGAAGTGAGCTCTGTGTTGGTCACTGTCTGTCTTAGTCAGGGCTTCAAGGCCATTCTGCATTTGCTGTTTGGTCCGCTTTGAGGGGTAGCTATCGAAGCTTACGACGTCGATAAGAGTCAGAGATAAAACGTTCTCGGGCGAGAATACGGCGAAGCGTTGTGATATACCGCCCCCAATATCATGGGCAATGATATGAATCTTTTCCAAACCCCAAAGCTCCAAAAGGCCCTCTAAAATTGCGACCTGGCCTGTCATTGAAGTGTCCACGGTTGAGTCCCATGGGCGTTCTGAAAGGCCGAAGCCAAGAAGGTCAAAGACGTGGACCTTGTAGCCACCATCGACAAGCTTTGGGACAATATTGCGCCAAATGAGGGATGAGGACGGTGTTCCGTGGATAAGGACGACTGGCTTTCCAGTGCCGTAAACGCCATAAGCGACACGGCTCCCCTTAATCAGGGCATTTTCTGTGACAATTGGTTTCACCATTTTGGTTTCTTAAGTCGGTATGCTTTGAAGAGCGATCCAAAAGCCCTCTCCTGGGTACTTATGGAAATGCAGTAATAATGCGGAGTATGTCGTCTGAAGGGCGCAACGGGAGACATATGACAGGTGTGATGGAGCCGTCGCCGGCAACCCTTCCAGACAGACATCGTAGGTAAACAACAAACCGCAAAGCTCGAGCACTCATTCTTCGTCTGATGATAGCCCTACGTCTCGTTCAATAAAGCGGGCTTTGACTCCTATCAGCATTGACAAGAAATACGAGCGATTCTTGTCTTCAGGAGGCAAGTCGACCTCGATTTTAAACTCTTTCACCAAAGCGGGAACGACTTTGAAGACTACCAGCTCTGCTAGATGTCGCCCCGGACATGATCTGGAGCCGCCGCCCCAGCTGAGATTGACACGTTCCATTGTACGTGCTGCGTCGGGATCTGCAGTCTGCCAACGAGCTGGGTTGAACATATCCGAGTCCGAACCAAAGATACTTGGATTTCGATGAAGAGCTACCGGGTTACAGCCCACGGTTGTGTTTGGTGGAAAATAGTAGCCATGAAGATATAGGCCTTCTGAAGGAACCTTGCGCGGCAATGACATGCTGATGACGGGATACAGCCGCTTGGCTTCCTTGATGAGTGATTGAAACTCTGGCAAGCGTGTCGCAGTGGAGTATTCGACGGGATTGCTTGTCCTAAGGATCTCAAGAGATACCTGTGCCTGAACATCATCGTTTGAGCCCAGTAGCGCAAAGATCGAGGTAAGTGTCGATGCCATGGTCTCATGCCCAGCCCCGAAGTTGGTCACAGCCATCTTGCGAAGGTAAAGTTCTGTAAATTTAGGCTTGGTTCTATGCAACTGGATCAGATCCGCTAGGAGATCTTTTCGATCATCTTTATTGAGCTTGGATTTCGTGGCTGCGTTAACACGTCTTGAGACTCTTTTGCCGACATCCTATGCCAATCAGTACCGCAACCTTTTACGATGCCGCCGAGGTTATCTCACTGGAAAGAATGGTCGGAAGTCCTTTGGCGGTTGGAAATTTACGCCCCAAATCGTACTGAAGAGTCGCCCGATCGACTTGTGTAAGAACTCCAACTTAGCAGCCATTGGGAACAAACCAAAGACACTCTTTCGTCTCCAGCCATGGTATGCGTGAGCGCCGGAGCCATGATCAGTTCCATTCTTTAGCATTCCTGGCGACCAGGATAGTACGACCGCACCAAGGCATTCGACGGCGATGATGTGCATCCACTCGTTGAGTTCAACCTGAGCACCGTTCAAAGTCTTTAGCTTGGCGATGGAGCGTGCAAGAACCTCATCAATTGCAGCTTCATACTGAATGAGATTGGAAGTTTGGTACACAGGCCCAATGAGTCGGCGCTGAAGACGGTAGCGTCTCACATCTCGCTCTGATAGAAGGTCGAGGGTATCTTGGAATTCGGTGTTGAGATGCCAATCAATGTGAGGTTTGCTCAAGGCAGTTGCCACTATACATGGACGTCAGTTCCCACTTTGCTATTTTATGTGAATAAATCGGTATTACAGTAAAAGTCAGACTTTTCATAGCCACTCCCACTGCCTGGTGAAACTGTTAGTTGACAGTTGTGTACGAGGCGAGACACGAACTGTAAATGGCATGAAAAGCCTCTTTGCTATCGAACCATACTTCATTAGGACCAACACGCACAACAGGTCCGTATTTTCTATGGAGTGTCTTTCCAAGATATGCCATGCGCCCCATTCGAGCATTATATGCATGCCAGAAGCTCGAAATCGCCGCCAGTCTTGGTCCAGGAATACGGGCTAGTGGATGGAAAGATACCCTGTAGATGGCGATAGTAATGGTCAAGATGAACAACGAGAAAAACAATCGCGACAGGATCTGGACTAAGAAACTCCCCAGCGATTGGATCCCGGTGGAAAAATAAGAGAAAGGCATTGTGTTAAGGCCGAATCATCACAACGGGCGAGACTAGCAAGATCTGGTGTGATACCGTTCAGTTGAAAGGTCAAATTTTCCAGATGTAAAAAGACAAACGCCAATGAAGTAATCCCCACATGCTCAGCGACAGTAACCTCGATTATCTCTAACCCTTAAAATTAAGATTAATAAAATTAATTGTTCTATTTAAATTTGTCTCGTGTTGCTAGCCATTCTGATCGAGACTCTACCTTATATTATATCAGATCCCTACAAAGGGTGCTTGTTGCTTCTTAGTAAACTCAATTTGACCTCACTCTTGGGCTTCCTTGGCCTTTAGTTTCTTCTCCTCTTTCACTCTCAACTCCTCGCGCCATTTAACTCCACGAACCATGACAGTGATCAGAATAGGGCAACCGAGAACATAGAGTCCTCCAACGAGGGTGAAAGCCCAGCCAGTACCCATAGCATCAATCATGGGCACAATTGCTGCACTGGCTCCCGCCCCTACTAAACAGCGCGTCAGGTTGTTCGCTGCGCTTGCCGTGCCAGCCTTCCTGGGATGGATATCAATTAGCAGCGAGTTGACTGTATTGTTGAAACCAACAACTCCTACGCCCAAGATTCCACTCAGCACACACGGGACAGCAATATGAGCCCGGGCGTGAACGGCCCATCCCCAACAGACGAGCGTAGCAGCCGCGAGCATTAGTAGAGGGAAACCGATTTCCAGACGAGCACGCTCAATTGGAAAACCAGACAAGTCTTGCTGCTTACTGCGCTCGTATGGTATGCCCTGCTTCTCGCAATGTCGCTTGAAGTTGCGATTTGTAAAAGCACCCACGATGAACGCCGCAATGACTGATCCAGCTGCCATGGGGAGGAATGTCAGTCCGATCTCAAGCTCGTTATAGCCATATATCTCCTTGAATAGGGTGGGCATGGCGGTTGCTATGCAGTAGAACCCTGCGAAGCAGATACTGCTGAAGCCGAGAAGGAAACCGGTTTCCTTCTCAAACAACATCAAGATCGAGTCGAGGACATTGGGAAACTTGAACTTGAACTTCTTGACGGTCGAAGCTCGTGAGCCTTGTCGACTCAAACCGTTCTTCTCCGACTCAGACCGCTTCCGTCGGGATACAAGAATCTGCCATACTGAGCGGTACATCAAAGGCGCTTTGATACTACCATCCCCGACGATCTCACGGCATGTTTCTGGGTAGAACAAAGCGAGAAGAATGACGGTTACACCGGCGAAGATGGCAAGAAACCAGAAAATTGACCTCCAGCCTAGAAATTCGGCAAGCACGCCACCTATAATTGGACCTAGCGATGGACCCAGCACAGATGGAACAGCTGTCAGACCGATGTACTGACCTCTTTCGGCCGAGGTGACAACATCAGCCACAACAGCGAAGCATAGCGCAACAGTGCTAGCAGAGCCAGCGGATTGAAGACATCGAAGACCCAACAGAGCACCATAGCTAGGAGCCAGGGCGAGACCAATGTTGGCCGCTATGTAGATGGTAAAGCATACCAGGTACGCAGGTCTTCTTCCACCACTGTCAGCTAGTGAGCCAATGAACATGGGTGTTATACCCTGGAAGATCATGTAAGTCGTGACAGTAAGGTTGATCTGGGATGTGGTCACGCCCAAGTCGTTGGCTATAGCTGGTAGGGCAGGGAAGTATATCTGGGCTGTCATTGGTGAAAAGAGGGCTGTCGAAGCAGCAGCCAGAACAATGAGACGCTTCTGCCATAGTGAGAAGCTTGAGTAAGGAGCATCTGGGATTCCAATTTCCGCATTGGATTGTTTTTCGGGATCCTGGTCTGATATGCGAGTGTGAGTGCTCTCGCTATCGCCAATATGGTCGTCGTCTTGCTTTGGTGCACTCATCTTCCAATAACTCTTGAAGTTTGACTGAAGAGACAAAACAATGCCATTTTGTTCATTAAAAGGATGAAGAATCAGTGACATCAACAAGAAATAAATAACGATTGGAGAAGCAGGGTGAAATGCTAGAATTCGATTCTGTTTGGATCGCAAGTGCTAGAATCCACATCTTTCGGTGCCGAGTCGGCACCAAGCGTTGAGGGTGTGCTCTGCAGCAAATCAACCACTACTTTGTAACATAACTTGCATCACGATTGGTCGAAGAAATCGACCTGGAGACTCGCTAATGGAGATTGACGATATTATTTCCGGTATAAGTTGTGTCAGTTGGCGGATGGTTGTAAGACGGCGCTCTTCCCCGACTCCGACTACGGGATGACTCAACTTAATGGATAAGTATCACAGATGGAGTCCTTTTACAAGCTTGAACTTTTGAGAAGAGGTATAAACACATGTGTATTAATGCTAGAAATTTCAGACTGTTAGCCAAGCTCGAAGTCATGCATGGCATTCACCGTATTGGGTCGACGCAGGCGGTGCAACAAGCTGATTGAATCACCATTCTACCTTTATACCAAGGCAATGCTTCAGCCCGATAGTACTTTCTATTTAATATCTTGATGATGTTTCGATCAATGACCTGGTGCTGCATTGGAGATGGGCACGAGTGAGACACACCGTACCTAACCTAGGTCTAAGCTGTGAGCGTGACCATTGCAATACTCTGGAGGCTTTCAGTATACCAAGAAGCGTCACAAGTACCTTACCTACGCCTCAATGCCTACTCAAGGACACAATATTCTTTGAGCTTCATTATCTAGAAAAGCTGAGATATTGATGGTCCGAATCTCCCCGGGGGAGGTAAAACTTCTAATTGCTTCCTGAATAGCAAGATATGTAGTATGTAGGAAAATTTAGTAAAATTAGGGAGAGATGTAGAAAACTTTTGGGCTAGTGTGTCGTCTTTGACACTTTGATCTACCGTTAAAGTGTCCTTGCTCCTTGATGCAGTGATGCCTCATTCTTGACGATCGTAGGACTCCACTTTGATAAGCCAGAGTGTGTTGTAAGATAGGTACATTAACGAATCAGATACCGTTTGATTTTCAGAACCCTGGCGAATTTGTGAAGTCAATCGATAGAGGGAAAAGGTGATAAGATTGTATGATGCAGAATTTTGAGGTCTTGAGGTTTGTAGGTGAAGCTTCATGATGATGCTGAGGCATATCGTGAGTTAATGTTAGTAATTGCCCGCGGGAAACTATCGGCGCTAGAACTTGAGCCCGCCGCGGAGACCATATTCACTATCTATCTATACTCAAAATGTAAGGTCGCCATCACTGCAAAGACCGCTCGTCAGTGAAATAATACCTCAGGCCCGTGATTCAGCTGAAGCAGAAGAAGTATAAAGTCGAGCAGACGCTTCTCAGTGCGCTCGATATCGCTCCCCGCATTACTCGATTTGCCCCGCGTTGAACACCTTGATCAGACAGCCAGAGCAACTCGGACAGCTCTTCAAGATGGACTTTTCACTCGAGAATCATAAAGCTTACGTCGGAAAGCACGTCTCGGAGCTTCCTACACCATCACTGGTTGTCAATCTGCCTGTTCTCAAGACGAATGTTGAGACGTTACATCGCGATGTTGAGAAGCTCGGCATTGGCTTCAGACCTCATGTCAAGACGTTGAAGGTATGTTGCGCCTACGCAATTTGGAATAGATTGTGAACTAACTCGGCGTTTTACAGTCTCTTGAGGTGACACGATTAATGATGGCGGATGGAAAATACAGAGGAATCATTGCCTCCACTATCCCTGAGATCCAAGGTGCTTTACCCCTAGTGAAGGAGGGCATCTTGGAAGAGGTGAGTCTGACCAAAATTTATGAAGATGAGAAGTACTGAATATTCCGCAGTGTCTGTATGGTCTGCCTGTCTATCCTGGTATCCTACCCAGGTTGATTGAGTTGCGAAAATCGCTACGCATCATGCTCATGGTCGACAATGAGCAACAGGTCGAGTTTCTCGAAGAGTCGGCTTCAGGCAAGCAGCCCTGGGATGTCTTTATCAAGCTCGACGTTGGATCGCGCCGAGCAGGCGTTGAAGCCAACAGTGCTGCAATGAACCGTTTGGTAGAGCGCGCGCAGAAGTCGTCTGCCATTAGTATCTACGGATTCTACTGTCACGCGGGCCATTCGTATGGAGGCCGATCGCGAGACGAGGCCGAGAAGACGCTCAACATAGAGGTGTCGAGCGTCTTGGCCGCAGCTAAGCTTCTGCCCTCTGATCACCAACTTGTCATCTCCGTCGGCAGTACACCAACAGCACATGTCGTCGAAAGCCTCAAGGCATCAATGCCGGAAAACATCAAGCTCGAGCTCCACGCAGGCAATTTCCCTTGCAACGATCTCCAGCAAGTGTCAACTGGTCTTGTGACCGAGACACAGCAATCCGTGTCTGTAGCTGCTGAAGTATGTAGCGTGTACCCGGAGAGGAACGAAGCGCTTGTCAATGCAGGTGTAATCGCGCTGTCGCGTGAGGCCAGCGCATTTAGCGGATTCGGCCGTGTAGTGGGCAGTCCGGCGTGGAGTGTGGTCCGATTGTCGCAGGAGCATGGGATCCTGGGGACGAGCGAGGGACGAAAGGTCGAGGAGAACTTCAAGGTTGGACAAAAGGTTCAGCTATGGTGCAATCACGCTTGTATAGCTGCTGCTGCGTTTTACGTGTATTATGTTGTTGATGAGCAGGGCATTGTGAGGGACACATGGGTTCCTTGGAAGGGGTGGTAGGGATTCTAGGGAATAAGCAAGTCATCAATTAATCAACTGTCACTGAAACTTGATCAGCATCAGCAAAGAATTGACTCTTCTGATTCGCTCCCCCAGCTCCTGTTCCTGACTCCAATTTCTCCCGAGCCAAGGAAAATCCTGCTTCCTTGTTGAAGGAGAGCGTCTAAGTGGATCTCGAGCCGCATACGTCATCGGCGAATTGCGGAAGCTCAGGTTGAAAAGGTGCGGGCTTCATGATCTGCGTCACATGAAAAGCCATCTTCCCTCCTCCATCTTTTCTTCGCTCACGATACACTTGGTTTCTCTCGACTAAATTTGCCCTTTGCGACGAATACAACAGGACAAAACATCCCCAGCAACTCGAGTTTACTCTCTTACTCTTTTATTCCCCTCTCTACCCCGCCTTACCATCAGTAAGTATACACGTCACTGTAGCGTATTTGTGCCCAACATCAGATCACTGACTCTATCACAGTGTCTTACGCCGACGTTGCTGCCAGTGGCCCCAAGCAGAGCCCTGAGGAGGTGAGTTGCTCTATACACAGCATCATGTCTCTGCGATCACTCTTGCTAACCCCTCCAGGCTGCTGCCCCTCAACCTCCTCAGGTCATCACTGACGAGTCCGCCTCCACCGCCTCTTTGGTCGATGTTGATATGCCTAGTGTGCACACTGTCCCCAACGACTTTCTTGAGCAGGAGATCAAGACAGAGACCCAGGCTGCTCGCGTAGAGCGTGAAGAGGAGGCCCGCGAAGCCCGTGAGGAGAAGCGAAAGCGTGACGAGGCAGCCGCTAAGGCCAAAAGCGCCGACAACTGGCTTATCCAACAATTCTCTCGCCTGTCGGACGGAAGTGCTACTGGCCTTGTTATTGCCAACTTTGCTACCGTTGTCGGTCTGAGCGCGTACCTTGGCTATAAGGGCTGGGGTCTCTACGAGAAGGGCAGGCTTGACTGGAAGGCCGTCACTCTCGGTGCTGGTATCCTCGCTGGTGTGACAGCTGCCGAGGGTGCTGTCGGACGATATTTGTACAAGGGCAAGAAGGGCGGCAACTAGGAGTCGAGCGGCGATGATACCCCACAACGACGCAAATGCCGATGTACTGGACGGTCTTCTTGAGGCCTAAAGCATTTAAGCAAAGCAAATCTTTGCCTTGTAATTGTTGAACGCTGAAAGGAATGAACGTTGTTGATGGATGATACGACATAGTTTTTTGTTTTACTGCATTTTCACTTTGTTTCATAATTCTCTACTCTGGCTGATACCAGGCTACTACTCGTCTCTTACGTTTGGAGGCATAAGAATTGATACCTATGTTCAACAATCCCATTCAAACCAAACTTCGCAAAAGTTTGTTTGGAGATGCGAGATATCAAAACATTGAGATGTGATCGTGTCTATTAATTTCGTGGCTTCTGTCCCTTCTCATCATACAGCGTTGGTACAGATGGACAACCTCGCCCATACCAAGATCCTAAATATTTTACAAAATGTAGTTCTTCACCTTAACAACGCCAATATTTTACACATCCTACTGCTTCGTCTCAGCCTTCTTTTTAGCTTCCCTTTCCTGCTCAATAATCTTGATCTCAGCATTGGCAGCAGTAGCATCATGCGCTTGTGAGGGCTCAACGAAAACCTCCTTCACTGGAACCTTGGTCTTGTGCATATCCTGCCACAACTCTGGGTTGTGTGGCTTCTCTATGGGAGTAGCGACATCCTGAACCTTTCGGGATCCGTTGACGAGGGTTTCCTTCTCGGCTTCGCTGGAAGTTGTTCGGGGGGCTTGTTCATCGAGCTCAGCTGCAGCAGAGGAATTTTCGGGGAGGGACTTGGAGTCGGCAGCGGGGGCCTTGTCGGTAGCAGGAGCCTTGCGAGCGTCGGGAGCGGGCTGCTCATCGCCAAAATCGGGAGTGGGAGCACCCTCCTCGTCATCGGCGAGCTCAGCACCGTAGATTTCTGGGTATTTCTTAAAGCACTCTTGCATGCCCCTGTTCTTCAGTTAGCAAACTATGAACCAAGACCATTGTTCGATATGACGTACTGGAACTTCTCAATGCAGTCCATACCCTTGGGCTCCTCGGTCGAGTATACAAAGCAGCTGAACGCAGTCTTGAACTCCTCACCGCAAGGGCCGTGGGCCATACCACCCAAGCAAGGGCAGTCCCAGTTGATCTCTCCAGTCTCGGGATTGAAAGCACCTTGCTGGTCGGCCTCTTCTTCTAGGACAGAAGGCGATCCATCGGCGGCAGCGGCTTGAGTATTGGACTGTTGAGACTCGGTGGGCTTTGATGACTCGGCGGGCTTCTCGCTCTTAGCCTTGATCTGTTTGCGCTTCTCCTCGAGAACGGAGTCAACGGTGGGGAGGTCATCATCGGAGAAGGCGGCGGGTGCGGGAACCGTTTTTGCTATTCTATGTTAGTCGCATAATCTCGAATTCTGAGCAACAATTGTAACGCACAGACAGCCTCATCAGCGAAGATGGGACTGGTGTTATAGTAATAGACAGCACCGAAAGCCAGACCCAATCGTGCCACAGAGCTCTTCCATGATCGGGACTTGTCGGCGGGAGTAGTTGTCGAGTTAAATCGTCGAGGGGTTGCGCGGATCGTATTCGAGCGCAGGCTGGCAATTACAGGCCTCGAGGCCGATCGCATAGTGGTACGATACATTTTGAATTACAGAAGTCAACAAAGGAACGAAGGTCAGTGCAAGAAATCAAGAATACAAGAGGAATTGGTCAGCAACGGTGGAGCATCGAAATCTTGGAGTATGATGCTTGGAAATACCTGGCCCTGGTCTCCGAGATGCCGGCCAGTTGCGTGAAAAAAGTGTAACCGTAATTTAACCGTCCGTGCTCTTTATCTGATAACAGCCTTATCGCACCATGACGTTCCCCCACCATTGGCTTCTGCTTCTACCTATTGGATCTAGGCAGTGTGCATTCATTCCTGATCATATGAGCTACCTCTATACCCTCATAGGGCTTAACGTGCAGACTGCGTCTAGATCTCTTTTTAACTTTCGACCTAGATTGTGGCTGTTACAGTAGACCAAAGGTTGTTTTGTCAAACACTTTGGCTTGAGTGATCAGCAGAAGACAAAGGAAAGAAAGGGAGAAAGCTGTCGCACAGGAATCGAGGGGAAGCGTCTCGAGCTAGACATTGTCTCGCCATTTCTCAGGGAGAGGAAAAAGCAAAATCATTCTTGATCTGCCAACTTGCAAATATCACGCAAGGGACCCGACGATTTGGATCGCATCTACTTCATCTTTTTCTACTCATTGCAAGTCGCATACTAACTAAAGACATCCTCAATCATGGCGTCCAAATCTTTCGAATGGCGACCAGCAAAGCTGCTCCAGGACTATAACATAGGCCAGGACTTTGCGCTGCTCATTCTAAACCAGCCGTTGAAGAACGGCGTCAATTTGCGCAAGCTCTGGAAGAACTGTACGTAGCTTAACATGCTGCTATTGCGGTCTCAGTACCTAACGTCTATTTCACAGCTTCTGTGAGAGTAGCCGCAGATGGTGGAGCAAACCGTCTACACAAGCTATCGTCTTTCCACGGAAAATACGTACGTTGCGATACTGCTCGTGGACGATAATATTAAATGGTTGCTAATCCTATAGTCTAATCTTCAACTCATCATTGGCGACCTCGATTCTCTCACCCCACAAGTCCGCGATTTCTACTCGTCGCAACCCTCCCCTGCGACAGTCATCCACGACGCCGACCAAGAGTCGACCGACTTTGCAAAGGCTATTAACTGGATTCGCAAAGAATACCCCGAAGGCATCGACATCGTCGCACTTGGAGGCATCGGGGGCCGTGTTGACCAAGGCCTTTCTCAGCTTCACCATCTGTACCTCTTCCAAAACGACCCCGATTATGCGACCGGTCGACTGTTCCTTCTTTCTGGCTCAAGTTTGACATTCCTGCTCAGGGCTGGTAGTCATCAGATCCAGGTTCGAGAGGAGGGGGAGGAAGATGCCTTTGGCAAGCATGTTGGTATCATTCCTCTGAAAGAGGCTGCCAACATCACGACAAAGGGCTTCGAATGGGACGTTGAGAACTGGCACACTGAGATCGGCGGCAAATTGAGTACTAGCAATCATATCCTGCCCGAGTCCCAGGTCGTGTCGGTGACGACGGACAAGGATGTACTGTTCACAGTAGCACTCAAAGAAGGCGACGGCGATGACGAATAGCATAGTGCTTCAGCAAAGAACTTGTTAACTCGGCGTGGTATGATACAAACGAAAAGACAACACAAGAGACTCAAAAACTCCATGCGCCGCGCTGATACCCCTAAGCGTACATTTCTGTGACATTTCTCTTCCAATTACATGAAGCCCAGTTCGGGTTCTGTTCTACCGCAAGAAATGGAGCACCAGCCAACAAAACAGGAAGAATATCAAGACGCCCGCAAAGAAGATCCATTTGTCCTCCTTCGCTCGTCGTTCAACCATACGAATCGTATCGCCGCTTACGCCAAGGGTATTGGCGACGTTGTAGAGTCGCTTTTGGGTGCTCTTGAGCATCTCTCGCTGTTGACCTAGATCGCCCAGTACAGCCTGTCCGCGCGCAATGTAGTCGTCTAGCGCTTGGTTTGTGTTTGCGAAGAAGTTCTGCTCCCTAAATGCATGTGCCTCGCGCTGCTCATCTGGTGAGCCAGTTGTCAAGGCGCTGGCTTGAGGTGGGTGTCGAGGCTGGAACGCAGAGTGCGTGTTTGTTGTTGTAGCGTTCGCATAAGGGTTCTCGGGTGTAGCATTATACGGTCTCCGGCCAAGAAGTTCTGTGCGATTTGCCTGGTGCTGAGCATCATCACGAACTTTCTTCAACGAATCGACTTGCGTCCGAAAGTCGGAGAGATCTTCGCGGAACTTCTTTACTCGCTGCAAGCCCTCCTCTTGCTTCTTAGGAACGATTTCCTGACGGGCGAGGGATTGATATTCATCGAGGGTCTTCGTGAAGGAAGCGATTGAGGCGGATACGTTGCCAATTTCGGAGGGAGAAGCTTGAGGTTTGCTGTTGAGGTTGGAGAGCTCTGCGCGGAGAGACTTGCTTTGCCGCAAGGCGGAGTTGTAGGCGATGTTCTAAGTTTAGTAGTTAGCGTATGTATGCTTAAGTGCTTCTTCGATCTAGCTTACCATGGCGACGGACTCGAGGGAAGAAGCTTGTGGTTGTCGAGCAATGCAACGACAACTTTCATCATGATTTCTAGGTGTTCAGACACATGATAAGGCCAGATCTCGCGGAACGGATTAATGACACACCGTCTACTACAGTCGAAAGCAGGTTACCCTGCATCTTCTGAACACCTGAGATAGGGGGCAAGATTTCCATCGGAAAGGTTTCCTATGCCAATATTACTTTTTTATCTTTCTGATCTTGTGTGCCTTGACATGAATTTTTCCCAATAAACTTTATGCCCATAAGCTCTCGTCGTTCCATAGCAGGAATGGATTGCCGTTTCGTCTAAAGTTAGCAACAATTCTTGATTATGCATTGCCACAGTTTTGCAAAGTTAGGCATTAGATCTAGTCTTATAATTTAGTGCTAAAGACTTTGCAGAAATAAGAATATCGAAACAGTAACAGCTTTATTTATTTCGGTTACAAGGCTTGTCTTTCTACCTAAGCTAAGCCTGGTGATAGTTCGATTCTCTCAGTCCAATTCGTGGGCCTCCCCATAGTGACAATTGCTTTTCTCTTGGCCAGGTCCATATTAATGGTGAAAAGTGTTGCTTTGCCGTTCCCGGGTGAGAACTGGTCACGGTTGATTGCTGTTGGATACCCTTGCTCGTCCTTGAAGAATTCAAAGAATGAAGAATGGTCGATGGTTGAGGTCGCCAATCTGTCATCAAGAAGCTGGGCGATGCGCTTGATGCGGTCTGTGGAATCGGGTATCCAGCCGGGTTCATCGACTCCGGGATGCTCAAGCAGCAGATGGTTCGTATGAATAAGTGTTCCGTTGCCGTCAAAGTTGATCTCTTTGATACCTATGCTGGTGCATTCTAAGCCTATAGCTTCAGATGGATCTGACACAAGAATGTGACCACTTCCAGCCGTGCCCGCTTTATACAGCTTGTCGGCTGCTTCGCGCGCCGAATGTGACTCCAAAGCTGTTCGCAGGGCGAGATGGATGGGAATCTTGGTGTTATCAACGCCCCGAGCTCGGATAGCGTTTAGACAGGTTCCTACACCAGAGGAGTTGATACCAATCTTGCCAATTACACCCCCTTCAGTCACCATCGAAATACCAGGTATATCTGTTCCAGGCTGGGAGACATGACAGATGAAAAGATTAGGTGCCTGTTCAGGCTGCCAGTCCCAGTTCTGCGCAAGGAGAACCTCCCCGTTAGGCTGACGATATGCAGCACTCGTGCAGCCATCGGTCTGGATAGGTGCACTGGGGACTCGAGTATATAGTCCGAATGTGATCTCTGTTCGAACGTTGAGAGCAACGATATCAACTAGTTGGAAGCCAGCGCCGTCGGCTAGGCCTTGAAGCTCCTCGACATAGCGTGGAGATAGCTTCTGCAGAGGTCGGATGTATTGTTGAGCCTCTTGGCGTACTGCTTCCCAGTTCATGGCGCATGATTCTTGGAACAGATCTTTGTAAAAAGCGACAGACCCAACAACCCTATCTTTTGCAGCTGTGCCATGTTGATGGCCGATCTATAGTTGAGCCATAAGTTAGTCCTCCAGCTTAGATCACGGCGTTCTTAGAATGGAGTTTCCTTACCTCATAAGGCGTGCCTGAGCAGTGGACTTCTAGCATGATGAGTTGTTTACGGAGGATGAATTGATAGTGTCGGAGTCAGAAGTGAGCCCGCTCCCTTACCCCAACGTGAGGATTATATATCCATCAACGCCGCATTTCCATCAAGAGTGGGGGTTATCGTTAGCTCAGATAAACCTACAGACATCCTGGTGATCCTTTGGCGTATACAATCACTCTTTCTAGCACAGCATTACACATGCAGTTGACGTGATCATCGTAATTTTGTAAGGCTGATCTTTTGACATCTGTGTAAGTCTACTCCCCTGGATGCACCGCAACGTAGTCAAATTCAGTGATTGCATACCAGAAGTCTGCTGGTAAACTAATTTCAAAGTCTTCATACCATCATAGCATAGGTCTAACATTTGATACCAGCTTCAGAGTTCGGAGGGTTATGGCCGGTTTGGCTCGGCCGAGTCTGCCGATAATAGGTACTTTGGGTGGACACCACAAACGGTAATGATAAATCATGATTGGAGGTCTGATGAACCTCTTATTAACCCCGGTTCCCATCTCCGTTTCGTAGCTTCGGATGCGACCCGACTTCAAAAATAGCCGAACCTGCAAATCCCAGTATCAACGATACCCAGCTTCTTCTATGAAACGTATCGAAAATTGAAGACATCCAATCAAAATGGGAGACATGCCACACTTGAGTGATCATATCGGAAGCTTTAGCCTATCATCTATTCACCCAGCTGATCCAGCTTACACTCCGCTTCTCTATCGGCTCCGCGAAGAAACCTTCCAGAACCGAACAACTCAAGTCAGACATGGCTCATATCTCAGACGATTTACTCGAGATACTTCTTTCAACATAGCTGAAGCTATCAAGGAAAACTCTGGGATTGATCTCAGTAGTTTCATGCGCCGATATGGACTGACTGGCTGCGTTGTTGTTCAGAATGGAGCCATAAAACTCGAAGAATACAGACACGGAAACTCCCAAGCATCTCGTAATGACGTTCAGTCAGTCACAAAGTCTTTTGTTGCAACAGCTCTGGCCATTGCGCAGCAAGAAGGGAAACTATCCGTCAACGACCCAGTATCTCGCCATGTCGAAGAGCTGAGAGGAACTGCTTGGGCAGACGTGCCACTTCTTGCTCTATCCAACATGTCTTCAGGGGTAGTTGAACAATCAGAAGAAGAGCGACCCGCAGATGTGCCCAATCCTATGTATGCCACTGAGCTTTATCCCCAAACGGATCCTGAAGCTGTTATCAAGTGGCTCAAGACATCGAGGAAAGTGGCTGAGCCTTGGGAAGAGTTTCACTACTACAACCCGAACTATTATGTGCTGTCGACAGCGATCTCGCGCGCAACCGGAGAGCCTCTGAATGAATACATCTCGCGCACGATATGGGATCCTGCTGGAATGCAATACGACGGGTACATACGAACAACTGGCGCAGGACACGTGGATGGTCACGGAGGTCTTTCGATAACTTTGACAGACATGGCACGCTTCGGTTGTTTTATTCTCGAAAGTTTCAGAGACGGAGCGAAAGGCCCCAATGTGCCACCTGGTTGGTTCCAAGACATTTCTGATGCCAAGAACAGTGTCGGGCCCAGGGCTCTTCAGCCGGATAATTTTGTCTCCAACTTTGGCTACGAAAGTGGTTGGTGGACGACAGGCAGGGGGGACAAGGAGTATAAGATGGGAGACGATGGTGCGTTTGCGGCGATTGGTATGTATGGCCAGTCTATCTACATAGTTCCAAAGTTGGACGCCGTGATCGCTATTCAATCTGGGTACCCGGAGCATGAGTTGGACTTGTTCACGAGAAACGCAGAGTTGGCGACTGCTATACTCAAGGCACTGAGGGATCGGTGATATGTTATAAAAGTTAGACACAACTAAGTTTATTCCGTTAAAGCATTTCTCACTTTGGCTTTGGTATTTTGTCTATTAAGCATCATAAAGTTTACGTTCTACAACAGTAGCCTATCACAGTTGAGTAGTTTGGTAGAATATCGTGACCGTTTTATTTTTGGCTTCGGGTCGAGATCTGTCAGTAAGGTTTAACTTTCCGGTTCTACTCTTCTCGTTGGCTATATCTATGATATTCGGAGCCCTTAGCTTGTTTATCACTTCAGACTTACAGCTTTTGCCAGACCACGAGATGATTTTGATCGACTTTCCGAAAGTTTAGGTCTTCATGCCAAAGTAAAAGGTTTCAGGATTGACTATAAGAGGTGTCCTTGTATCTCCAACTTTTCACCATTCCCTCGTTAGCCAACATGCAACTTGGCAAGCCTTGGTGCAGCACTTGCTGCGTCCACTTCAATACCTTTGAGGAGCACAGAGAGCACTCAAAATCAGACAAGCAGTAAGTTACCTATTCCTTTCTCGCTTTATTACATACACTAACCGACTTTTAGTATTTCAAAGATCCAAATTCGATATAGTGGCCCATGTATTCCTCGCTATGTCATGGAGAAAGCCATGGAAAACTGGGATCGAGTTAAGGAATCATGGACTCAAGGCTCAGACGAAAGGCCAACGGATGGGTCAGAGCTCTGTGAGGTAGAGAACGCAGAGTTTAATGAAGAACTCTGCCTCTTTTGCCGCCACACGAGCTCGACCTTCGACGAGAACATGGCTCACATGAAGACATGCCACAGCTTCACCATCCCAAACCTAGAAGTCCATGGTATTAAGCCTATCACTGTTGTGAGATGCCTTTATAGCATCATTTTCAGCTGCTACGAATGTGTATCTTGCGGCAAACAACGTCGCACGTCGGAGGGGATTCAACACCACATGACTGCCAAGAACCACTGTCGTTTTCAGATGACATACGAGATTTTGAGATTCTGTAAGGAGGAGGAAATCTTCGACGCTCAAGAAAATCGAGAAAGCCAAGATACTCAGCTTATAGGAACAACTCCGGCTTCCAATAACGACGGGACTATCATTCAGCGTCCCCCAATGCGACGCATGCCGAAGTTTCTAGGGTATGAGAGCACAGGTGGTCATCATATGTATAAAGAGACGCAACGGGAATTTTTTCTTTCCAGCAACTAGTAGCAACTGTCGCCAAGACGGAAAGAAATGGAAGGGGATCATGCCGAGGCAACTCAACAGCCACATAGAGCTTTCCATGAAGCGGTCCGAAAGGCGAGGGCTCGGCTGGGACATCCAATTTGAGATAGTTACCTTGCAGAAAGAGCCACAAACGGATGACGATCTTATGGTTTGTACCATGGAGGAACTAGGTACATCGTTGAAATTTGGGAAGAGCTGCAGAACATAAAGTTGTTATTTGAAGCAAATGTTGGGATGGAGAGAGGCTGGTATTGATTTATTCAATTATTTAGTTTCCGGTATCAAATTGAACATACATCTTGTGGTTTTTAAGAATATAATTACTATATATGTAAAACTGTGATTCGCCTTACGTGTCGCCATTGTGCTTCGACAACGATCTTCTCGATTTCCTTATGATAGCGTCGAATGAAGCCTTACTCATTTTGCGGTCAAGTATGGTATGAAACCAAGGTCGTTTTTGATGGCACTTTGATTTATGGAAGTCATAAATCAGCTAAAGAATAAAAGGAACAAAGCGAGCTGTTCGTGCATGCCAACTCTCCCATTCCTTTCCAAAAGCCCTCTTGAGCATCTTCTCCTCTTCAGAAACTCTGGTCCACATTCCAAACATGATACCCGATATAGTGAAAGGAAGAAATCTTATAGCCCAGGAACAGAAGGTCTCATAGATATTCGGAGGGATCCAGCAGCTCAGAACACCATCCAGTCTACCAAGCAGTGCCACGTTGAAAATCATGAGAATAGCGAGACCAGTATAGCTTGGGTGTTGGAGATATTGATAAATACCGGTAGTTTTCAACTGGTCTGGCTCTTTCAGAGCAAATGTGAAGTTTTTGCCCAGTGATGCATACGGTACCAAACGCAGAGGAACACCGGCACAGAGAATTAGAGCTAGAGGTACTGTAGTTGCAGCAGACCATGTAATCAGGTCTGGATTGAGCCCGTTTTCAATTCCGTGATGAACAAGAGATGGAGGGATATTAGGGTAGCGCAAGGCTAGGCTAGCAGTGTGAAGCGATAGCAGCCCGAGAGGGGCCAGGACGACCTTTGTGGTGTGTTTTCTCGTCAAGAATAGCCATCGAACTGAGTCGCCTGTTGATGGTGCTGTATGTTCGCTGGGATTGGGAGGAGATAGAGCCAGGTAGGTTCCGTAAGTTGAACCGAGTATGGCTGCTGCTAGAGAAGCCTGAGACAAAGAGAACTGAAGAGTCATTGTAACCTCAGTGAAAGTCAGGTTTGAGCGAGAAATCTGATCTTGCACTTTTGTGATATATGAGGATAGAATAGGTTACCTCCAACCATCGGAGAGATGCAGTTCAATGATACGGAAGCTCATAAACCGAGGTTCAGTCTAAAACATCGGAAGCTAGCCATTTCACGTGACACGCAGGCATTTGATCTCGTCGAACTGGTTCGTAAACGCGATACCGTTAGCAGAAGCCCGCGAGAGAGTCCATCACATCTTGATAGAGTGATTATTATGCTCTGTTTACGCGGTCGTATAAACATAATTTCGGATCTCGTACACACAAAGCCACATAGCGTCGCAATCTGAATGTATGTAAGCCACAGCCAGGTACCCAGACAGGGGTCTAATCGATCGTTCTTCTTTTCAAAGCGTTACCTGTCAACGTCGAACATGCCAGCTAACCGTGCAAGCTAACAGCAATGGTAGCATTTCTTGACAGGCTGACAGAAAACAGTAATTATTTGTAGTTTTACGGAAGGACTCTAGAAACGGTAGGCATCTCGATGATCGGCAAAAACAGAAACGGCAGCACAGACGGGTAAACCTGTTTCCATCCACAGCCCGTATCGTGGCTTTGTAACGGAGGAGCAGCCACCAATCCAAAGCTCAAGATATCAACTAGAGGGAGGAATTGAGTGCCTCTAACGCCAACTATGACATGATGCTCCACTTGGACTGAGACTCGCGTCCCCAGCTCAACCGCAGATTTGTCGATCGCCGCTCTGTGGCGATTCTAGCATAATCGCCGAGTCTAGACTCACCCTAACTAAACTCTACCTTCCAGCCTCCCGGTCTTCGGCGTTCGCCCCTAGTGGCAAGCCCTAGGAACCCAACCTTCAATGCTCATCTCCTGTCTTTTGCCAACGGTGAGAATGACCGTTGGGGGAAACCGTTGAAGATTCCGTCGAATATACGCACTGCTGAGAATGGCCAGTCCAGCTCGTGTACAGGTGCCCAAGAAAAGCATCGTTTCTGAGGCCACTCGGGAGCGCGAGACGTACAGGTAACGAGGCAATTTCACCCTAAAGAAAAAGTTGAGTTATCTTGCTGAAATCCAATTAGATATGACGACTCGCTTTTCACCAATGTTCGCTTCAACGATTCTGGGTCGCCTGTTCCGAGCAATGAGCTCTCGACATGTCCCGATGTCATACTGACGGCCTTGGCTCGTCTCGCGGCTTCTCAAACTGGTGCCGCACGCTCAATGATCTCATTATTTGATCAGACTCATCAGTATATCATCGCGGAAGCTTCATCGATAACCCCTTTGATTCCAAGCTTGGGACAGGACGCTCACCCGGAAACTCTTTGGCATTGTGGAACTGCAATCCCGCGGTCACATAGTGCTTGTGAAAGTACATTATGTGCTGATGAAATTCAATCAGATGAATCTGGACCAAGGGCCAACCACGACTTGCCTGTTATTGTAGTTCCTGATGTTACCCTCGATCCCGAGTATGCAACTAAACCTTACTGTCGACCCGGAGGCGCCGCAAGATTCTACGCCGCAGTGCCAATTCGCACAGATCGAGGTGTCAACATCGGAGTTATCTGCGTGATCCATACCGAACCTTCACTGCCATGGGAGGATTGTCACTCAAGGCTTATGAGAGAGCTTTCAAGAGCCGTGACTGAACATCTCGAGACCATCAGCCTGAAAAGCCAACAACGAAGGAGCGAGAGGAAGAGCTGGGGTTTGACCAGTTTTGTCGAAGGGAACACAGCGCCTTTGAGCCACGTCTCCTCTACCGGACGAGAGTATGCAGAACATGAGACGAGAGGTGACGGCATGGCCAGATCGCAAAGGCCAAGAATTGACGACCTGCAGCAGGCTTTGGGAGGAATGAGTGTCAGAAACTCAACTGCCACAGCCGACTCCCGCACGACCAACGCGTTTCACACCAAAGAGGTTATCATGTGCGATCCACCGGCCAGATCAAGGTTTGCCCATGATCCAAGTCAGCTCCTCGAAACTCCAAAGCAAATCTTCTCAAAAGCAGCGTCAATTGTCAAGGATTCTATTGAGACCGATGGCTGTTTGTTCCTCAATGCAGACATGCTGGAGTTTTCAAGTGCAGGCTCTTCCACTGAATGGATAGATGAGGACCTGGCGACTAGACGACCTTCAACATTCAGCTACAATGAGAGTGAGGATGCCTGCACAACTGTCTCTTCTGATGACCGTCTACGACCCTCTTGTCAGGCGCTCGGCTCCTCCGAGCATGGGACAGCTCATATTGCTCTCCCACAAGCCCTTCTCGCAAGGATGATTCGACAGTATCCTAGAGGTCATGTGTTCAACTACGACACTGATGGAAATCTACTTCAAGACGAACTGCCCGGTGATTCAACTTGTCATCCATCAAACAGCAATGACTGGGAAAACCTACAGAACAGACAAAACCACAGGTTCCGAGCTCAGCAGAGAGAAGCAAGTATTCTTCTCGAGACCTTCCCTGGTGCTCGGAGCATTGCATTCGTTCCTGTCTGGGACCTCAGGAAGAAACGATGGTCTGCTGGTGGCTTTATTCACACTTACAATATCAAGCGTACCTTCACGATCGACCTTGACTTGAGTTACCTCAGAGCTCTCGGTATGCTCGCAGCGGCCGAGGCTTTTAAGTTGGAGACCCTAGCTGCTGACAAAGCCAAGACTGATGCACTTGGCTCACTGTCTCATGAGTTGAGATCACCGCTCCATGGTGCTGTCCTAAGCGTCGAGTTGCTTAACGATACAGACCTTACTATCCCACAACAAAACATTGTTAGAACCATTGAAACATGCTGTCGAACACTCTCAGATACGATTGACCACTTGCTCGAATATTCCAAGATTAACAAGGCCTTACCTCAAGAAACGACTCGAGAGACTCAGGCAGATGGAAGTGGTACCAACAGGTCCTCGTTCGCTAGCATAGCTTCGAAGCCATCAAGAAAGGTCGTACAGCTAGATGTCCTGGCTGAAGAAGTTCTTGAGAGTGTCTACGCTGGATTCAACTTTCAACAGGTCACCCTTGCCCAATCATCATCCAGCCAAACACCTCGACGACCTGGCCACATGTCTATCCGCAGAATGGACACCATGCAAGCCATGGACGAGCTTCAAGCTCCATTGAAACAGAAAGGCAATCTTTCAACGAAAATCGGAGACGTCGATGTTTTCCTGGTCATCGACTCACGGCCATCGTGGGGTTTCTACACCCAGCCAGGCCCCGTACGTCGAATTATCATGAATCTGTTCGGCAATTCTCTCAAGTACACGCAATTTGGAATTATCAAGGTCTCTTTAGAGCAGACTAACGCTTTCGGTGCTGATGATAATGACTGCTGGGTAACCATCAAGGTCTCCGATACTGGCGTGGGCATCAGCGAGGACTTTCTGCAAAACGGCTTGTTCAAACCATTCTCGCAAGAGAACCACTTATCTCCTGGCACGGGTCTCGGACTTAGCTTCGTAAAGCAGATAACTGCACAGTTTGGAGGCCACATCTCTGTCGACAGCCGGGTTGGCGTTGGCACTACAGTAACAGTGAGACTTCCAATGAAGCTTGGCGACGACTGCCATCACAACGTCTGTGAAATTCGACAACGAGAAGAAGATTTCGACGCGCAGACAGAAAAGCTTCGAGGTCTCCGGGTCAAATTGGTCGATTTCAGCAAAGAATCTGTTACGGGAGGCGGTTCTGCACAAAGAACGATCGAATCTCCTGACCAACTTGTGCAGGATATGTGCCAGGAGTGGTTAAATATGCAGGTCAACAACACCTCAGAGACACCTTGCTTCATGCCAGACCTTGCGATTTGGTCTGAGGAGGCGTTTGAAAAACCCTATGCTCTGCAGAATTCAGTCCCAGATATTCCAAACATTGTGCTCTGTGCCAATGCTGTTACTGCACATCAGTATGCGACTGGCACGAAGGCAATACCACGTCCCGGAGTCTTCGAGTTCATCTCACAACCGTAAGTAATCTTTCATACCCCCTATATGCCGTGCTCCAGGCTAACAACATATCAAGACTCGGTCCTCGAAAGCTTGCCAAAGCATGTTCACTAGCATTGTATCGCTGGACAGTCATGCAAACATCTACCCAATCTCCAACCACAGCATCAACAGAGCCCGAATCTTTGAGCATTGTCACCACCATTGCCCCTTCACTAACAAACCCAAGCTCACCCTTCCCCGCGAGCGAAGACGAAACCCCAACACAACCAAAAGACTATTTCAGAGCCTCCGAGTTCCTTCTCGTTGATGACAACTTCATCAACCTCAAGATCCTCTCCTCATACATGAAGAAGCTCAAACAACCATATCAAACAGCTTCAGACGGCTTAGAAGCCGTCACGGCATATGAAGCTGACCCTGGTAGATATAGCTGTATCTTGATGGATATTTCGATGCCGGTCATGGATGGGTTTGAAGCAACGAGGAGAATTCGTGCTTTTGAGTCACAAAAGGGGTTGAGGCCTGCTCTGATACTTGCTTTGACAGGATTGGCATCTGAGGAGGCGCAGAGGGAGGCTACTGTCAGCGGATTGGATTTGTTCTTGACGAAGCCTGTGAGGTTGAAGGAGTTGGGGCCCATTTTAAGAGCCAAGGGAGTCTTAGAGGAGGAGTCAAATCTGGGCTGAGTGCCATGATCGTTAGGAAGAAAAATAAGGTGTTTGGGATCGAAAAGAACTAATTACTACGGGACAAAATAATGGATAAATAGAAAATAATGATGTCAATGGGATAAGCTGCATGTGTTGTGAATATTGATGGAGAGATAGACGGTATCGGTTGATGTCATGAGTTACAGATCGGCGGCTGATGCTTTTGGTTTAAATGAGCAATAACCTCAAGGTAGATATGTATGAGCCAGCATTCAAGTGGTAAATATAGAGTAGTTCTTCAGCATACGTGCCATATATTCTTTCATGTTGTAAGCGATGACAGAGTGTTGATAGATGGATCTCCTCTCGACTTCACCGGCCCTACAAGGCCACGCCATGATATTCATGAAGCCCCAAAAAGCCTGGGCTCGACTTCTGTCATGGACATGGAGTAGCGAGAGGCGAGAATTATATATATTAGGTATCAACAAAAAAAGACATGATAAAGCACGCTTCATCAACCCGCCAGCAGCTCCATAACCCCTAACAATCCCGTCCTTTCACATAACTATCACCCGATCCTAGATGAATGTCCCGCTAAATGCAACTCCTCAAACATGAAAAAGCAGAAACAAAAAGCAAGAAAACAGATAGATGATTTTGCCCAAATAGAACGCCATGTCGCTTTCATATCCGTAACCCTTGGTATCTTCAACACGACCCAATAAGCGCCAGACCATACTCTCTTGGATTTCTTTTTTTATCACTCCTGCCCTGATTGCTGTGGATATGTGTCTTTGTTTCCTTAGATTGTTGTGTTTGGTGTTGATGCCTCGAGGTCCATGGTCATCACCCTCGTTCTTCGTGCTTCACAGGCATCGGTCTAGAGATGCCTGAGGCGTAAGTTGCAAGGGTCGACATACTACAGCCGGAAAGGAGCCTCCTTGAAGCGCTTGACCCAGTGCTGTCGCACACGGCTGGGCATCTTACAAAACACCATGGCTTTGCACTCATTGATGAGCACGCCCTCAGAGATCTTGACCTGCAGATCAAGATCCTCGTCTGCAAAGTCACGGAAGAATATGTCCAGTGCTTCCTCTTGCCAGCGTAGAGTATTTCGAGATCGTACAGCCTCGACAATCTCCTCCATAACAGGCCCGTTGGTCCCGTTAGTGTTTTGGCTATCTGCCTGGGAAGGAGACCCAGCATTCGGTCCATCACGCACAGCCAATGGCAGCATGGAGGAGTTGAGAACAGACGCTGAAAGAGCACGAGAACCATCGTTGGACGAAGTACGGCGACGTTTGCCAGGAGATTCGGGGGCTGGCTGACCCATAGGCATAGTAGTAGCAGGTGGCGTCGATTCGAACATGTTCGGGGTGCTTGTAGTGGGCAGCTGTCGCTTGCGGCTCTGTGTGATAGTCTCGTCGGGAGGGGTAAGAGCATTGGCATTTGCTACAGTCGGTGGTCCGCGTGGAGGAATCGCAGTAGACGTCGGTCGCGGCAGGGTCGCCGACCCAGTGGAGGATGTAGTTGGAGTTTGAGTCAACATGGGACGCGAGTTCGGGCTCTCGAGGCCAGGAGGTCGAGGAGGAGGAGGATCGCTTGTCAAATTGAGTATACCGGTGCCCGGCATATCGGGGTCATCGGTCATGGGGCCGTCTGTTCGTCTCCGTGGTTTCATTATGCGTTTGGGAGCGCCACCCGAGCCGATGACATCTGGATAAAGGACTTCCATAAAGTCTTCATGATCAAAGGGTCGGCCGCGCAACGCCCTAGAAAGCGGTTCCCTCTATTTTAGAGTCAGTATGTGCTTGACACAGTCACTTCGTATGCGCGAGGCTACAGCAGCTGGGCCTCGTCGTTCGCATGATGGCGATTCCTGATCATTGCATCGTCATGGTACAAGGAATGTTTACCTCGATATGGGCAGTCCACGCCTCCTCCGTAGCAGTGACCGTTCTCTTAACCGGGTTGTAGACAAACTCGGGGTCCTCACGAAGACCTCTCCATAACCGAAACCGCTTTCTCGCGTTGTCACTCTTGTTGATCAGGTGGCTCTTCGCTGGATAGGCGCCATGACTCTCCTGCAGAGCCAGAGCAGCGCGCTCCCAGGCCTCTGCTTTGAAGGAGGAGTTTTCGCGGAGACCGAGCTGGACGCTCTCGCAGAGACTTCGGAAGAAGGTCGCTTCGTATGCGGGAGTCCAGCTAAAGCGCGGAGCTCTTCGATCACGGTCGACTCGAGCTGGGGGCTGGCCGTCTGGGCCGAGGATATCGACGTCCTCGTCGGACATTGTTCTAGAAGGGGAGGGGAAGAAAGTCAGGGAGAATAAGAATAAAAAAGCCCCCTCGTGGCTTTCGGTGGGAGGCTGAGGCTGAAGCCGAAGCAAACGCTCCAACAACAAGGTCGTGTGTTGGTACAGTCTTGACAAGACCTGACCTGTATCAAAAACGATGGGAACCAATTCTAAACCAAACCAAACCTTAGTGTTAGCTCACCCAGTCGGGACTCGGCCGGGCGGTGAGTTTTTGGGTGGGGATGAGAGGTCACCTGGGCCACTGGGAATTTCACCATGCGTTATCACGTGCGACCACTGAAAAAGGGGAACAGAGGTCAACTGTTGCTTGGAACAGTGAGTAATTTAAGCTGGGCGTTCAGAATCGACGGCAGGATAATGATATCACATCGATGTTTTGGTCCTGCTTCATTGTCTATCGAGATGCTACCCACCGGAACTTTTGCTCCTGGGCCTCGATCCAGGGCCACGGACAGGGATTGGTGAGAGCTGAGGCTCAACTGCCCGAGAAAAGTCCATCTCATTGGTCTGTTTCACTCTGTGACAGGTCAAGGCAATGCGACATAACGTTTCTGTATTGCAAGGATTAATCTCACCAAACAATTATCATTGTATGCGCCAACACTTGCATATTTCCTTGGCCATTGTGATCGCACATGAGTAACTTTTCTTTCTGATAGAGTCTTTTTATTATGGAGATGTCCCACCTTCAAATGGAGCAACCTGCTCGGTATAGCCGCGGTTACCGCCCGTAGCATTAACATTACGTCGATGCCTATAATCTGGGCCTTGTTGACAATCTTTACTCTGTTTAGTAGGCCAAGGTACACTTGCGTCACCTAGGGACTCCGATATCGATGAGAAGTGTAATTGAGTTTGCAGACACAAAATAGTGAAATTATTCTATCGGCCAAAGATGTCTTGGCTCATGACTTCAAAAAATGTAGGAGTAAATGTCATCAATGGACTTTCGAGAGAAAGCTCAGAGGAACAAGAATTGAATAAGAGCAAAGAATGCAATGCCAGCACCAGCCAGTCCCAAATGTTGACTCATGGCGCCAGATACAATAACAGGGTGATCTGTGGATTCTCCTGTTTGGGCGTTAGTTTTGATACCTATCTCAAGATCGATGGTGAACTTACCAGAAGAAGCACTCTGGGAGGAATCAGGTACTGCGCTGGGCTTGACGCTCGATCGGAAGCCATTGTCTTCTCCAGTGACCTTGGGTACAGAGTTTCCTTGCTCCTCAGGCTGATCCTTGGGCTGCTCGTTGCCGGGCTGCTCGTTGCCAGGCTGCTCGTTGCCAGGCTGCTCGTTGCCAGGCTGCTCCTTACCAGGCTGCTCCTTTCCGGGCTGCTCCTTTCCGGGCTGCTCCTTTCCGGGCTGCTCTTTGCCAGGCGTTGCCATAGGCATTTCAGTTGGTGCAACCTCATTCATGTAATGACCTGGAACAGGGTACGTGATAGTCGCGGTAACAGGCTCAGCGCCACAAGTAGTACACGTCTGAACTTCACACGTAAATCCATGCGGAAGATCGTGCTCGTTCTTGGTAGGCTTTGCCTCCATGCCACTGTACGTCTCCGTGATGACATATTCCTGCTCAAACATACCAGTAGAGCAGAAAGCAGGGTACTTGGTTGTGTACTCAAGAGTATGGACACAAGTTGGGCAGCCGCAGTGACAGTCGGGAGCTTGGACTTCAACAATAATGGCTTCTCCTGTCACAGCTGGCTTGTGAACCACGCATGTCGGTCCAGGCACTGTGACGGTAGCTGTAGGATGTAGGACATCGCGGGTGAAGCATTGAGTTATCGTTGCTGTGCGGGTTTCGTACTGGACATCATCTTGAGCGGCTCCGAGAGCAGCAAAGAGCGCTGGAACAACGACTGACTTGGAATACATGATTAACGAGGGTGAAGAGCAAAAAGGCACAAAACGAGTGACTGCAGCTGGAAATTACACAGCCTGAGCAAAGAAGCAGAGAAAAAGTGTTTTGAATGGCACAAAGGGGACTTGGCGCTTATTAAAGCCTCATGCTAGTAATGCGGAAATGTTACTTCCATACCTCAACGTCCATCTAATTACCCAAAGACTGTGGCTTACCGGCGACATGAATAGTCTCATGCCGGAATATAATAGTGTATGCCACTGAAGACCCATGTAGCGCGTGACGCCATGCTTGGGTAGCTTGACAGTGGCTGACTGAACCGCCAAAATTCGTTACGGGTTTTTGTTTACAGCAATCTGATGATTCTGTTGGTCTGTGTTGTGTCTGGTATGCAAGGGAGCAACTCAAGGGAGTCTTAGTGGCTAGCTAATTTAGTACCATGGTTGATGTCTTAGCTTGGGCGCGATGACAACTCATATTAAGACTCATGTTCTAGACCAGCGCCTCAGTCCACTTGTTGCTCGCCACAAATTTTAACATCCTGAACTATTGAAAGCAACCAACAGATGGCTTACGTCTTATTTGTTGGGTGCATACAGGGCTGAGCTGAACAATTAAATGCAGAGTAGTTAAGAGTCGCAGAAATTCACAGTATTGGAAAACTCCCTGGTCTCCTTCTTCCCAATGCTTTCACTCATTCTTCATGATGTCTCCTGTTCGCTTGTTCCCTCTCTTACTTGCAAGTCTTTTTGGTGCATCCATTGCTCTTCAAGATGGTCAAAGGCAGCCTGAATCTTGGTGCATAACCTATCTGTCAACTTATCTGGTCCCTGTATCAGATGGTCATACTCGCCCAACAACTTCTTCTGTTGACGAAGCCATTATCTCAGAGACCTCAGAAGCAGTTTTGACATCTTCTACAGATCTAGCTATCCCCTCAACTTTCCCTTTTCCTGATGATTCAATTACTATTCCTTCGACCCCAAGTACAACTACTGGAGCTTCACTCCCCACTGCCAGTGGTCGATCAGTGATATTCCGCGTCGTTCCAGCATCGCAGGACGCTAAACGAGATCTCCAGGCCAGGGAAGTTGGCGGTTTTGTTGGCAGTCAGTCTGAGATCTGTGCTGCTGCCGCCATCTTCAACCTTGTACAGGGCCGTTTGCTGGATGGTACCTTGCCCATATACTACAACGGCGAGAGTTTCAAGGAGCTCCGCGGCTACCCGGGACCGTTACCTCGAGGGGCTGTTACTGAGACCTTTGCTGATGAGGATGGATTCCTCCGATTTTTCAGCTCAGCCCTACCAACGGGGGAGGCAGGCTTCTGTCAAGACACAGACAGCGGCCAAGTCTATATCACTTTCACTGCATCGCCCCCAGGTTGCCAAACTATAAGACTTTCTATTACTGAAGGTATGGGCGTCTCTCCGTATCACTCATGCTAGGCTGACTCTTTTTCTTCTAGTTGACGAATGCCGAGACGGCGATATATCCTCGAGCCCTTCTTCTCGACCTTCTAGTATACCTCTGCAACCTCAGTCTACATCAGCATTGCTCGGAACGACATCTTCCTGCAACACAGTCGCTCCTACGACCACGAAGGATATCCAAAAGGGTTCTTCCGCCATAGATTTCCCAACTTTCACTTCTCAGGTCATGCCTGTGGATACGAGCTCTGTTCAATTTTTTAATAGCTCTTCTTCTATCATATTTTCAACACATCCTGCTCTCACTCAAACATCTTCTATGTTGGACATTTCAACCCCTGTCACAGATTTCCTACCTACATCTCAGCTGAGCTCCTGGGCTTCAAATCTGGAGACTCTATCCACGGATGTCTTGGGAACGTCAGAAGAGCCACCTTCTATCCTTGAGCCCACTACAGCTGCCACGTCAACTACTGCAAATGCTATAAATACAATTGGCACTAGTTCTGGTACGGACTCCACGGCAAGCCCTGTTGCTACCCCTTCTACCACGTCTGGGCCATCATCCAGTTTCGAGACTGATACTAGCACAATATCCGATCTGTCATCGGATGCTAGTTCATCTTTTGACTCGAGCCAAACAGTCCTTTCGACGGCTGATACCAGACTTTTCACCACGACAACTCTCGATACCACAGCTGTCGATACCACAGCTGTCGATACCACAGCTGTCGATACCACAACTGTCGAGACCACAGCTGTCGATACCACAACTGTCGAGACCACGTCGAGACCACAACTTCAACCACTACAAGCTCTGAAGCGACGGGCACACGTGCGTGTGCGGAGGGCCTGGCTGAGCCACTGACACTATTCAATAGCCAGAATCCATCTGACAATGGTGTAGCATCGATCGTTCTGCCCTTTCAGGTACCGCTTTACGGTCAATCTAGTGATGTGCTCTATATCAGCCCCAACGGACTTGTTACACTAGGAGACGCCTTGGGTGCCGATTCGGTCCCCTATCTGGCCTTCCTACCAGATGAAAACATTGAGTCGCTGGCTATTTTTCCTTACTGGATTGACATGATAGTTTCAGAAGATTCAGGGGCCGAAGTTACATACCAGATTGAGAACATTCCCAACCAGCCTAGGGTCTTGACCGTAGACTGGTGTGTTTTCTCTACATCAGATTCAACTGAGCCATACCACTTTCAAATGGTACTCTCAGAGGATGAGGTGACCCCAATCACCTTCTTCTACTATACCATCCAGTCCGGGGGAACTCTTGCTACTATCGGTGCCCAGAATCGTGATGCGGATCAGTATGTGCAGTATTACGGTGCTATCCCAGATAGAACGTTCATGGAAGTCGATACGGTCGGCGGGGACATACGGACTGGTCAGTTCTGAGACTCCCCTAATTCTTAATGGCCACTTCATTATTTTCTTGTTTCTTCTTATTTTGTTTCCTCCCCTTCGATCTCTGGATTAGAATTTAGGTAGGCTTTCACGGTTACGCGAAGGTTAGTTTAATAGATTGATTACACGTGTCCCTCGATATGGTTATGAAGATGTTGGCATACGATAAGTTGAGAGCCCAGGGCAACAGTGTAAAGGTGGCTTGGCTTCAAACGTTGACTGTATTAGCTACACTACAAGATCATCTCGATCTCGGATGTCCTTGGGCCCAATCCCCTCAAGGATCGCGCTGGGCATCCAAGATCCTATGTTGCGTAAAAGACCGGAGATATAAAGCTGAACCCCCCAAAGAATATAAGCAGAGCATTTTTAGCCATCCCATTAAAGACCGAATCCAACAAGCTGCAACAAAGGCGGAAAAAAAATCAAGATTCGGTCAGAGTACCTCATCAATGAGCGTAAAGTCATCTCTATGTACACCAAATACCTTACGTGAAGTGAAAAGAAAACGCGCTATGTTGAGCTCTGAATAAAATCCAAGTTGAGACTCCTCCAGTCCCAGAGCTGCGAGAAGTCCCCGAGGTCGACGTCGGTGATGTTGCCTAGACCATAATCGATATTGAGATCCTGGGGATGATAATTGACGTATGTTGGAGGAACCATGCCACCACCAGTATGATCAGCGTGTGGCATGCCATAAAGACCTCCTTGGACAATGCCATCGATACCGGCGCTTGGTGATGGGACTTGCTGAGGTGGCATGTGGCCGGGCGCGACACCCATATTGTAAGCAACTTGGGGTTTCGCATACCCTTCGGCGGGGACTTGGTTGTTCATGACATAACCAGTGTTCTCATGGTTATCATAAGAAGAGTGAGTGCTCTGCGGCGTTGATCCAGAAGGGGCGCCTTCAGAACTAGCGTAATAGCTTGGTGAGCTTTCCTGTGACACATGCTCCGGTTGATATCCATCCTCAGGCTTGATAACAACATCATGACTGGTATTCGCTGGAGAAACTGGAGCGACTCGTTGTTTCTTACGATTCAAAGTCTCACGTGGCGGTGGCGATCGTCTAGGCATCTTCTGAACCATCTTAACGAGAATATCATGAGATGTCTTTGCCGTCTTCGATAGAGCCTTAAGACGCTTTAACAATCTGATCGCGGTATCCACTGAATCGACGATCTCATCTTTTCTGGGGATTGTGTCGTCCTGGTCTTTGATAACAGCGGTGGAAAGAACAGCGGCGGTATCGAAGAGCGAGAAGATAATAAAGTGAAATCTTGCGTCTCGATGAGAAGCATGGTCAGCCCACCGAGTAGTTGTGTCCAAATTCTTGAGGGAATAGAGGACAGCATCTTCTCGGACTGCTAGTAGATCCGCAGGTGAGTTTTTCGTATAAACTTGGGCCATGAACGCTCGCATAGGGTTGAGAATCATAAGATATGCCATCGTATGGATATAGAACCGGTGGTAGACAATCCACGGAAACTTGTAATCCTTCGACGTGTCAGGGTTGTCAACATCGTACACTGCAGGGAAGCGTCGGATCCAGTCCTCTAGCATGGACTTATACTCTTGGATATCGCTTGCTGAAGTGATGTTCTTGGGAGCACCCCATCGCTGCGCGAGTTGCGTGACCAGCTCTGACTGAAGTTTCATATGCAGAAGTGGTGAAGGAGAAAAGTCCTCGAGTGTGAGACTCGGTGGCTCCACGTTGATATCACTGTGGTCAATGATCGTTGGACGACCTAAGCCAGAAGCAAATTGCCTGAAAGGAGTCAGCATATCATGTACTTGGACTTTGGTGGTCTCACTTACCAATCCCAACAATCCAAGATACACCATACTCTCCGGCGCATCTCACGTTGAAATTCTGATAACCCCTCGGCAATGGCAGTTCGATGAAGACCTGGGGCAATAATTAGATCACTGATATCGCAGGACATCGAACGTACCCACCTAATTCATGTGCCTCTCGAACAGCAGCACCAATAACATGCCAAGCCTCCACGAACTTTGCTTCCGACTTGTACCAGTAGATTGAGTGAAGCATCCATTGGATATTCAGCAGATGGCAGTGACCGACCGGAATCACTCTTCCGAGTTCCGTAGCGGCCTTGTGGTATTCTACTGTGAGCTTCTCTGCAGGCTCTGAGAGCTCGACCTCAACAATAGGCTTTATCTCAACATCTAGATGCTGCGTAGCACACGCGCAGACCATGACGAGCAGGATAGTCCATTGAAGTGAGAGTGACTGATTACGGTTCCTTCGCTCCCACCATTGTTGATATTCCTGGAGGAAAGTAGGCGGATAGATAATGTAGTAGTGATAGTTCATGTTGTTGAAAAAGCTCTGAACAAGAGCGTCTGGCAGATCGTCAGTCAACAATTTCTCGAAATTTCGGTGGATTTGGGTCACTATTTACCCATTTGAGGGCGGCCAGGCAAGACATCGAGGGCATGCTTGAGTTGGGAACAGTTACTTGGATGGATCCAAGTCAATTCGCCCAAAGGCTTCTTGTCCTTCTGAGATGAATTTTAGTACATAATTCGACCGAGACTGCATTTTTCGTCTGTATCAAGATAATCTACTCACCTTTGCATCGATAGTGAGTGACTCAAAGAGAGGGCCAGCGGCATAGCCCATTGCTCCCAGCCCAACGTCGTCGTCATCCTCATCAGGCTCGGATTCGTCGGGTTCAACGTCATCCTCACGACTGCGGGAGCGCTTCTTGTCACTATTTGGCGTGAGTCCGTCAGACGGCGAGCTCGCAGTAGTCGCCTGAATGAAGCGGCATTTATCTGCGACCTTGCGTTTCTGGCAATGGTTGCAAGGCCATTCTCGATTGCACTGCTGGCAGTGAGTACAGTGTCTTCATAGGCCCCGCGGGGCGGCCGACAGGTCCCCACAAGGGTCTGCATGTCATCTCTGAAGGGCCACGACATACCTTTTGCTTCCTGCGATGACACTCAGCGCAGGCCGAGCGATATTGAACTGTATTCGAGCTGCTGTCCTCCATGTTAGTGTGGAGTTGACGTGTGGAGATCGACAGGGAGCGACGCGAAGAATCCAAGAATGGGCAGAGGAAAAACTTTGTCGCGTTATTCCGGAATCGTTGTGATTGAATACGGAATGGCTCTTGTCTGGTTGTGGTCTAGTCTAAACGGATAATGCCGCCCGTTTGTCTTAGATCACCTGGTGTTCCTTGGTTTTTTGTCCAGAGCCTCGGCAGTTGATTGCGGTGATATTCCAGTGTTAACTCATCTCTTCAAACAGGTTTTCAAGAGTTGCAGACCGCCTAAGTATGAACTGCTCCTGAAGATTGAATATCGATCCGAGTTTTGGTCACCAAGAACGCCATCATCACCTACATTTGAGACCCCTGATCTGATGTGGCACCTGAGATGCAGCCAGCCTCGGGCTACACGAAGTCACAAAGCCACATCTCTCACACTTGAGGCAATTCATTCCTTGCTAAATTGAATGGCTTCTCATCATTGCGGGGTTGGGACATGATGATAGGTTGTAATGCCAAACGCCTTTCCGGCAAGGCTGAAATAGACTCGCATATTATTCGCCCAACGTCGCACAAATGTTCTAGACTCTTCATTACGGGTAAAGATTCCCTTGATAGGACTGAATAAGAGCACTCCACGAAAAAGTTTCAATCGTACGAACGGCTCATGTCGCTGATGTCCGAGCACGTATGTATGTGTCGCTATCAACAGCGTCAAAGCTCAGACTTACGTGGCAATCAAGGTGAAACTAGTTAGTGAATAGTAATCACGAGGATACTGGTATTTGGAATTATTCCACTTTAAGGTTCGCGGCACGGCAATCCATACAGCAATCGAGCTACGCAAAACAGAGCGACCGGCAAACTCAACTAGGCCTAGACGCTGGACTGACGTAGATAATTCCACCACTCTTCCGTGGTACTGATTTGCCAATTTCCAAGTTGATCTTCATACATCCGTATCGATGTGCTGAGCTATAGGTAAGGTCATGAGTTCAATAGCATGACTAAGTCGAATCGGCTTCGACTATAAATGATGAGTACAACGTATGAGAATTTATAAACACGTAAGAGCAAATTTAATGGTCTCAGATGAGGCCTCGGTCATAGAATCTGCGTGCCGATATTCTATGATGTAATTCAGCCTTAAGGTTACATAGTCTTGAACCCGGCAAAAGGCAAACTCTAGATGAGATTCATAATTCGTGTAAGGCGCGTGCTGTAAGCATCAGTGGCGGTTTCTATCCAACTCAAAATAACACTCTTATCAGTTCAGGCAGTATACCGGAGATTCATAATTCTGTCATCATTACATTCCGAATTCTTCCCCTCCAGTAATTTCAGCACGGCTTCGTTGGTCAAGCAAGTGCCTACTTACTCTAATCCTTTGTCAAGCCTTGTCTAATATCCTTCAAAGACTTGATCTGCTTTCCGTTTGTATCAAAGTTATCTTCGCTGAGCCAAGCCTCAAAAGCCTTCTTAACAAGAGGCCACTCCTCATCAGTAATGCTGAGCCAAGCTGTGTCTCGACGCCTTCCTTTGAGAATCATATGCTTTCTATACCAACATGTCAGCAGTGGTTCTCGAGAGATGGAAACAATGATAATTACCTGAAGATACCCTCAAAAACAAAGCCTAATCTCTCAGCAGCTGCGAGACTAGGTTTGTTGAGATGATTGGCTTTCCACTCGACCCTGAGATAACCAAGATCCTCAAAGGCGTGCTTGATAATCAGATAAAAGGCTTCAGTGGCAGCACGTGTCTGCTTCAACTGAGACCCAAAGATAATACTCCCAATTTCAATCCTTCTATGGTCTGGAACGATGTTGAGATAAGACATTTGCCCAACAGGTTCAGACTTGGGGTCATCCCGTGGCCCAGAGAGAACAGTATAGAAGAGCGGATCCTCACTCTTGCTGAATCCTTCAACAGTTTCTCTCCATTGTTGCTGATCAAGGTATGGTCCTCCGAACATATATGTCCAAAGATGACCGTTTTCCTCGCCGCCAAGATGCTTCCAACTTGGATCGGCGTGAGATGGTTCCAATGGGATAAGGGAAGTGTAGCGTCCGTCAAGGGACCTACGAGAGGGTGCGGACGCGGTGCCCGAGGGGGTAATTGGGCCAACCGGTTGTTCACTCATGGTTGTAGACGTTGAACATAGGACTTGTGTTCGTTTTCGAAAGTTTGGAAGTCTTGAGCTTAATAGTAAAAGTTCGGGGCTCGGATCCGAGAGAACACAGAGTTCGGGGCTTAACTCCGAATGTGAGTCAGCCTATGACTACGCCCTCTGGTTGACTATAGATAGTGAGTCACGCAATTTCTAGCAGCCAATTGAAGCTAATCAGTCGTATATAGGCACTTACCGATACTAGAAGCTCGATGGAGATATAGAAGCCCATCAAATGTTTCGGTCAAACCTCCTGCATGACAAGGAAATATCGGTGATCTAATGGCGTAGACTAGACGTTGTTATCATAGACGATGGTATAGGTTCCAAGAAGCATCAAATCTGAGGTTTATTCTGTTTTGATCATCCTATAGTATACCTTGGGTGTATTGATTTTCTTGTTTACAACCTCTCCAAACTTCAATGAGTACTTGGTTTTGGCCCAATCATGAATCCATATATCACGTACCCTAAAGCAATTTTCAGGGTCTTAAAGCGCCTTGCTTGGCGATCGAAGGATTCGCCAAGCCAGCAACTTCCAATCATGCAACACAGCGCTACATCGAACCTGTTATGGCAACGTCATGTGAACACTGCGCCTTGCTAGTGATTTAGTGGTTGACGCCCCAGTCCTCGAGGTGGGAGAAATTCAACCTCACAACCTGAGAAAATTCATCAAATTTCAAAAAAGAAGATTTCCTCTTCCAGCTCAAATCCATCTTTCTAGCATCTTTGCAGTATCTCAAATCTTGATTCTCATTTACCAGCGATATACAAGATGACAGACGAGAAAGACCTTGGCAAAGCTGATCAAGTGGTAGAGTATTCCACTTCAGCGCCAACAGAGCTTCCTCCCTCATACGATATCACTCTATCCCAATCTGAGTCTCAACAACAAAATCAATCACAAGCCACAGAAGACTTTCCGACTCTTGTTATTGATGGCACAAAGATCTATTCCCTATACGCGCCCAATCGAATACTCTATCAACTTAGCAATGCACCGTATGACGCTACTCGGAAAATCTATGCCATTGAGAAACTACGATACCGCATGACGAATGGCGACTCTGAACAAAAGCTAAAACATACTGTTGATCATATCTACGACTTCAGGCACGGCATATCGATAGAATCATACAAACAAATCACCATCCTGGGACAGACAAGCCGGAAGCGTACTTATCCTAACATGATCATGCACCGATGCCTTAATGGCTGCCACACGGTATGCGAAGGTGGCCAAGTGAAGATCGTTCCAGTCTATGTACTTAAAGCAGACTCCTCTCTAAAGGATCGGCTGAATTAAGGGAAGAACAATACCACTACATGGAAAGACGAGAAGGGATAGGTGATTGCCATTGAGACGAAACTCCAGCGTGATGAGACTGGTAATATTCAAGAGCTTCTAAGGCTTGCTATCAAGGCCAGGATTGAAGAGAAGGTGTATGATCTGTTGGTCACTTCTTGGTGTGCACATGTCTGGAAGGATGCCCAGAAGGATTTGAAAGAGCCGATGAGTTGGGATAAATGTGAGCCACAATATTGTCACCTATTTCGAGGATCTTTACTGACCAATGAATCTAGTCAAACGGATTGCGTCGACCATGCCAAATAAAACAGCAGGTACGGAGGTCCCTACTAAAAGTTTTGTCCTGCCCCCCTGTTCGTAACAGGGGACCCTAGGAGGTTAGAAAAAGCAATAAAAAAGGCAGTATATATTTTCCTTACCTATAAACCTTCTATAACCTCTCTGTAAGCTATTAACTGATTTCTTAAGCTTTTTAACGATCTTGTAGGTCCTCTAATTATAACCCTAAATACAGATATTATAATAAGGGCTTTTATTATATCTTTTAAGGCCCTGTATAGCAGTAAGTCTTTTACTAAGGTTACTAAAATATTAGGACTTTTAATCTATTAGGTTAACTAAATATATACTTATATAATTAATAATAGGTTTAACCCTAATCTTAGATTAATAATTTTAAAAGATAAATATCTTAGAGATAAACCTTAATTAAGGCAGTTAATAAAGGTAATAAAAGAAATAAAAAAGCTTATTATTAGTAAGGTATAATGTAATTACTTTAAATAGAAAAAAACCTATACTAATCTTATTACTAAGCTTAGTACTATAAGGATAGAAATCTCTATAATATCTATCTATTAGATACTAGTTTCTTTAGGGTTTTAAAAGATAAAGCTAATAAGGAAACTAGGCCTAATAAAGTTAATAAAAGCTAAGAGATTTACTTAGTATATTACTTACTATAACTAGACCCTAAAGGACTAGAAGTTAGTAATTTAGTTAAATAAAACTGCTATAGTTTTTTTATATTAATAAGGAGGTTATTATATATAGTAAAGATTAAATAAGCAGTTTATATAGAGCTATATTTAAGTATAGTAAAAAGGGGTAATAAAGTTTATATTCTAGGGCTTCTTTTCCTATAATAAAAAAAGTCCTTATTATTACTAGGTTCTAGAGATTAAGAAGGAAAAGGTAGATTCTATACTTATTCTTAAGGAGCTTAACTATAAGCTTAAGCTAAAGAAGAAGGAGGAATAAGAACTAATAATAGCAATAAAAAGAGTTAGTTTAAGGAATTTACTAGGCAAGAAGCCTACTTAAAAGTAAAATAAAAAGAACAGAAAACTTATAAGAAAGGAAAGAAAGGGAGGTATTAACTAGTAGTAATATTAAAAGAAGATTCTTATTTTAAAATTACTTTTTTATATATAGTTATATAAAGAAAAAAGGCCTAATATAGTTATTTAGAAAGATAAGGTACTAGCATATAGCTACTATATATAGCAGCAAGTCTTTAACCTTACTAGTATATAGTAACTTCTTTAGTGTAAAAATAGCCCTGATTTAAACGCTATTAAAGCTACCTAGCTATATTTAAAAAGGGAAATAATAAAAAAAGGCATGCCTTAAAGTAAATATAAAGCTATTTGCAGGTAAGAGGCAGCTTAGTTAGTAATACTACAGGAGAAGATCTAAGTGTAGATTAAACGGATACTTTATTATATAGAAAAAATTATTAAGCTAAAAAGAGGAAATAAGTATAAGGAAGGCAGGGATTATTTAGTAGGAAATTAACTTATTTAGAAGTACTAATCTACTTTTAATAGCACTAGTGATTTTAGCGTAGGATAAAACTTTTAGTAGGGACCTCTGTATATATGGCGGTGCTGGAACTGGCGGTGCTTCGTTAGGGTTCTAATCTACCTGAAATGTCTTTATTAACGATGTGATAATGTGACAGCGAGATTACAAAATACGAAAAATTATTCGATTAAATCATTTCCTGTTCTCTTGCCTGTGATTCTGTCCGAGCGCTTTATATTCGCGACGTGCTTTGACCTCGTCACACGGCTCGGCTTGATATATAAAATTGATTGTCTTATCACAATTAAATAGCTTCGCACCGAACAATTCTTTCAGCGCCTCTGGCCCATTGTGCAAATTGACTAGGCTGATATGGTCAATTTGAGTTCAATACGTCTCTCAATCTAGCGAAAATTGATCTCGGTTAACCGCCACTGAGACTCGGCCGAGAATATTTATCCTGAAGCATAAACACGGTAAATTCCGCGATCTCTCTCATGATACATCATTGATGTAACGCAAGCGGTGCAATTGGACCCTGAATCAGATGTCAAACGCCTCTGATCGTTTGCACGGATCAAAGCCAATCGTCTAAATATGGATTGTTCTTCGTTTGTGCATGGATGCATTGACAATGTTCATGATTATCGACCAGGATTCACGATTTGCATAAACACGGGCTGACCGATATAACCTTATGCTATGCTTAATACAGCTCTCCACTCGCCAGAACAAGCAAAGAGCTCGTATTGTTTCATGAAACTTGGCTCATTCACTTGCCAAGATAACAGTTCCCGCGCATCGTCCAAAGCCACCCGTGAAATAAGCCATGGACTCAAGGGCTCGAGCAACGGGATCATACCCAAACAAACGCTCGTGGAAAGAGTCCGGTGATGCTTCCACCGGAAATGTGCCCCTTTTAGTGTCCTCGTGGCGTGTGCTAGCCCAAAAACCAATTTCTCTTGGCGGACGCCGGTGGTAATTTAAACGACCAGGGGTAGGGAAGCCAACAGCTCCTCTAGGCGAGATGAATAAAATGAAGGGCCACCCCTAGCTTCTTCAGCTGGATCTCAGCTATTCTTTCGCTGGTCTTGGTCACGTTCTGAATGAAGTCGTAGATGGAGGGCAAAGAGTCCAAAATGGCTCCGACAAGTCGCATCGCCTTTTTGGCGCTGTCATTCCTCCTTTCAGGTCATTTCGCAGCAGCTGGTAAGCAGATGAAGACAGCCCCTGAGATGAACAGCCATTAACACGCGATTGAACGCGCTAGAATGCGACATTTCCGGCAATTACACCATTATCGCTGCACCCGACGACCAAGATGGAGTTCAATCCTGCAAAGATGTCGATGGCTCTTTGTCGGTCCTCTTTGATAAGGATCCCTCTTCCTGGCCATCCGACAAGGCTACGGTAGATCTCGGCGATATCAGTTCACTTACCGGCGACCTTGTCATCTATCCCCACCACGATTCGAAGAAGACGGTTGTCACGGCATCGAGTTTGAAGACAATTGAAGGAGCCCTTACGATATGGAACACAGGAACCGGGAAGGACCACACGGTTGAGGAGTTCGACTTGGTATTCGACGCGTTGGAAGAAGTTGGCAAGGATTATGTTATCACGGAAGCTTTTGCCAAGCTCTCACTTGAGCACAAGACTGATATCACGGTGGGAGGTATGGCGAGAGTCTACGATACGGATGTGGAGGAGTTGCAGTTGAACGGAGTGTATACCGTCAATGGAGACTTCTCAATCGACTCGAACAGCGATATGAAGGAGCTGGATGTTCCAGCTCTTACCTACGCCAACAAGGGTCTTATCGTCAAGGGCAACAATGCTCTGGAGACGGTCTCATTTGCAAAGCTGAAGGGTGTTAAAGGAAACCTGCAGTTCAACCAGAATGGTGCGCTGCAGACTATTTATCTCGCAGCCCTCGAGTCAGCTGCAACTATGGCTATCACCGCTAACGGCAATGATGCTACCGTGCTGCTCCCTTGGCTGTCGTCCATCGGAAACAGCACTACTACTGCGACCTCAGACTTCAGCGGACTTGACAAGATTGAGTTTTCATCCCTACGTACGGTCAATGGTTCACTGACCTTTGAGTCTAATTCATTTGAGGATCTTACTATTCCTTTGATCAAGGAGATGAATGGTGCTATCATTGTGGAGGACAACCCTTCTCTGACGACCTTTGCTTTGCCGAGAGTTACATACGTGGATGAACTAGACATCAGCAGCAACGACAAACTCACCAATATTACAGCCAACGCTCTCAAGTCCGCTGGCACAATTGCGATCAAGGGACCGTTCACAAACGTCGAGTTCTTCAACTTGAAGAAGGTGACGGGAGATTTCAAGGTCTCTGGTGATGAGTCTATGGACTGCAGTTGGTTTGATGCTAATATCAAGAGCATTGTTGAGGGAAAGTACACTTGTGTTGGAGATCACGACAAGAAGGAGAGGAAACCCAGTACTGGAGGTATCGAGTATACTGAGGGCAACCCTAAGGATTATATGACATCCCCAGATGACGATGGAGGCAATGGTGGTAGCAGTGGTGGAAGCAGTGGAAGCGGTAGTGGCTCTGGCAGTGGAAGTGGAAGTGGAAGTTCTGACAGTGACAAAGAAGGCTCAAAGGGAGGGCTTTCAACAGGTGCAAAGGCGGGCATTGGAATTGGTGTTGCCATCATTGTTGTTCTTCTTATCGTCGGCGCCGTAATGTTCTGGCTCTGGCGCCGCCGTCAAACCGCAGCACCCGGCGAAAAGCGTCTCGGCAGCAGTGGCAGCGGCTCAACCAAGAAGGGCATCTTTGATGGGCAGCAAATGGGTGTCCAGACCAAGATCGAGGCCACCAACCCCAGCCCATCTCCTAGCATCGGCACTTTGAATTTCGGCCGCAACTCCCTCATTGAGTCAACTGGTGGCTTTACCGAGAAGAGTCTCAATGCCTGGAAGACGATCCGAAGAGTTAGTGTCTCTTCAGGGGGTTCATCAACTGTTAAGGAGGGAACTAGTATTCTCAAGGGTTGAGGAGGAGAGAACAGAACAGAACAGATACGATGGCGAGTGTTTAAAATGCAATTCAGCGTATAGTGATACCACAGTCCTTCAATAGACACCAGCAGGAAACGGCCTGCATCTCTTTTCATAGGGTAATTTTAATAATTATTAGGTTAAACAGTCTATCAGAATTCACTCACTCACTCACCTCAGTCGACAGTCAGTCCATTAACTGTTCATCTTGCACTAACTAGAGATAAGGGAACGTCAGCTAAGACCTCAATTGAACCGCTAGACCCTTAAATTTCCAAGAAAAAGAATGGCAAAGAAGAGCTGAACCACTTTAAAAGAATCCACGCAAGACATTTCATTTGATGTGGAGATGATCTCCAACTTTTCTCACTCAATCACAAAGCTTCACATGCGCATCTGAGGCTTCTGACTTGGTGAAGACAGACCCACTGCTGATTACGAGAGGTAAATGCCCCTCATCAGCAGAATCCCTCTTAACAAGTGATCGTCGCGTGGTGAAAACACCAAAGTTGTCATTTCCATTCATCTTCACAGTCAAATTCTTGCACTTGACTTTTCTGTTGCAATTGAACCTTTTGTTGACGTATTATACTGCAAAACCGCGTCTAAGCCTTATCACACTCCGCTAAAGATG